GATAAATGGTGGAATATCGTGTGTGTTTATGCTGAAGTGTGTTTTTTAACAGTTTCGTTTTTGGCATCACTTGAAATAAAAACGCAATTTAAAAAGATTCTCTGAGTTCTGAGTTTTTCATTTTTGGAAATACTGGGAAAATTTACTCAGTCTAGACTTGGTGAAAGAAAATGCACAATATTTTTTTAAATGTTATAGATGTTTTAATAAATTGTAAACAAAAATATTCGAAATTCGGAAATGGAGGCAGCTTTCAACGGGAAAACTGGGATTTACTTCAGGAAATCACCAAAAAATTTCTTTAAACATTTTCTTTAACATGACCTTTTATTTTGTACGATCATAAACAATCAACTTTTGTGCTTTTAGTATTTTAGTTTGTATGACCATAAACGGAAAAAATAAAAATGTAATCAAAGCTGACATCATAAAAAAGAAAAAAAACTGAAGATAAGAACTAAGAAAAAAAGTGATTGTATTTTTGTTCGAGGGTTTAGTTTATGGAACAACCTGAGTGACGAGTATAAAGTGTTATAAACTTTTGAAAGATACAGAGATCTGGAATGAATGAATTGTGCATTACATGTTATTTGTTTTAATAAATAAATAAATAAAAATCACTAAAAACTAAAAAGCAAGGAGAATTTGGAAAACCTCTCAGATCCATGTGAGCGAAAACATAATTGTGTTTAATGTTATTTGTTTATTTGTGATAAAGACTAAGCATTTTTACTGAACAAATCCTATAAAAATGAAGTTGAGCCACAAGTTTTTCCACTTCATCTAGAAATAAATTACACATTTAATCACAAATTTTACTTTTAGTGAAGCTCAAATACAATTCTGAGGTTAGAAAAATGTATTTTTGTCATAAAGACAAAGCATTTTTACTGGGTAAGTCCTACAGAAATGTTGAGCCCACAACAATTTTTCACTTCAACTACAGGTATATGACACATTTAATCACAAATTTTACTTTTAGAGAAGCTTAAATGATTTTGAGATTAGAAAACAAAATTTTTTATGATAAAGATTAATTAATTTGACTTCATCTACAGATAAATTCACACATTTCCTGACAAATTTTGAAGGAAATTCTGAACAAAACACTTTAGCTTTAACTTGTCTGATAATTATTAGTCCATAAAAACTTGTGTCAGTCTGATCTGATTTTTTTTTTAATTTATGACAGAAATCAAGTTTGATTGGAGTTTAGACGTTAGAGTTTTTTTCACCCAGCGCCAGAGTCACGTGACCCGACTGTAACGAGCCTCATGTTTGAATCTGACATTTGGACAGAAAGACACATTTACAGAGCGTAAAAAGACTTTTCAGATTCGAAGGTGAGACATTTCAGTTTGTAGTTATGGTATAAGTGTAAACAGTGTTGGGAAGTTTACTTTAAAAATGTAATCCCCTACAGATTAGATTACATATCCCAAAATGTAGTTTGTAACATAATCCATTAAAGTACTTAAAGTGAGTAATGTAATCTGAATACTTTGGATTACTTGATTTGCTGTAGAGAAGCAAAGACGAGGAAATTTTGACATAAGATGTTTTGTCTGATAAAAGAAAATAAAAAGCCCAGACTTTACTGAACCAAATAAAAAATATTATTGATAAAAGACGAGGAGACACGTCCACACAGCAGGATTTAGTCCTGTTAAATCCTGGTTTAGTCCTGGTTTTAGTCCTGGTTTAGACCTGGTTTAGTCCTGGTTTAGACCTGGTTTTAGACCTGGTTTTAGTCCTGGTTTAGTCCTGGTTTTAGTCCTGGTTTAGTCCTGGTTTAGACCTGGTTTAGACCTGGTTTAGACCTGGTTTAGACCTGGTTTTAGTCCTGGTTTAGACCTGGTTTAGACCTGGTTTAGTCCTGGTTTAGACCTGGTTTTAGTCCTGGTTTAGACCTGGTTTAGACCTGGTTTAGACCTGATTTAGACCTGGTTTAGACCTGGTTTAGTCCTGGTTTTAGTCCTGGTTTAGTCCTGGTTTAGACCTGGTTTAGACCTGGTTTAGGCCTGATTTAGACCTGGTTTTAGACCTGGTTTAGTCCTGGTTTAGACCTGGTTTAATCCTGGTTTAGACCTGTTTAGTCCTGGTTTTAGTCCTGGTTTAGGCCTGGTTTAGTCCTGGTTTAGTCCTGGTTTAGACCTGATTTTAGACCTGGTTTAGGCCTGGTTTTAGTCCTGGTTTAGACCTGATTTTAGACCTGGTTTAGTCCTGGTTTAGACCTGGTTTAGTCCTGGTTTAGACCTGGTTTAGACCTGGTTTTAGACCTGATTTTAGACCTGATTTTAGACCTGGTTTAGTCCTGGTTTAGACCTGGTTTAGACCTGGTTTTAGTCCTGGTTTAGTCCTGGTTTAGTCCTGGTTTAGACCTGGTTTTAGTCCTGGTTTTTAGTCCTGGTTTAGACCTGGTTTAGTCCTGGTTTAGACCTGGTTTAGTCCTGGTTTTAGACCTGGTTTTAGTCCTGGTTTAGACCTGGTTTTAGTCCTGGTTTTAGTCCTGGTTTAGTCCTGGTTTAGTCCTGGTTTAGACCTGGTTTAGTCCTGGTTTAGACCTGGTTTTAGTCCTGGTTTAGTCCTGGTTTAGACCTGGTTTAGACCTGGTTTAGTCCTGGTTTAGCCCAAAATGTGAAAACAGGAAAATACCTCTGTGTAATCCATTTATTTCAACAAAGTAACTGTAATCCAATTACCACTCACTGAAACAGTAACTGTAACTGAATACAGTTACTCATCATTTGTACTCTGATTACATAACTCTGGTACATGTAATCTGTTACTCCCCAACACTGAGTGTAAATGACCTCATGTATTTTCTGCACTTCTGCTACTTTTGTTTTTAAGTATTGTAACGCGTTTGTTCTACAAATATAGTTTCTTGCTTTTATTTTGAAAGGTGTAAAGCTGTACAACCGGAAGTGGCCACGAGAAAGCGGATGTTTACCTCCCGGCTAACAGTCTGTGCGGCTAACTGACAATTAGCACAACGGAAAGTTTTGTTTGGTTTAATCTAAACATAACTGAAAATGTATAAAGTTAATATATGGTCCATCTCGGTTTATCACCTGGTTGATGAGGGAACAAGGTCAATAAGGATTTTTCATTTTAGAATTACGTTGTTTTGGAATTGTTTTGTTTTTTGTACGTTGAGCCGTTAGAGTTTCGTGCCAACACGTTTTAATTTTTGTCCACTAGATGGCGCCAGTGCGTTTTGCTTAAAGGTTGTATAGAGGATTTTTTAAGGAAAGAGAAATACAGCGACAGTCCTTTTTCAAATGTTGTGCATGCGAAATAGAAATAATTTAGCATCAGTTTTTAGACCCTTCGTCTGCTTCAGTCGCGCCATCGCTGGAAGAGATCTCCAAGAATCACCTCAGTTTGGCTTTGCTCCTTTTCCCCTTCTCTTCTTCTTTCGGCGACCTCAAAAACACTTTCTTTTGCTGCGAACTGGTCGTGGATTCTCGTCGGCCATCGCAACAAACTTATGCGAACTGTGAGGAAGCGACAGTTTGAAAAAGCCTCTAAGAATCGCTGCATAAACCACATAATCCCCGCACGCCGACGAGTCAGTTACACTAGAAACATAGGGAGTTTGATTGACGACCTCACAGCCAATAGAAAATGAGGCAGCCTCGTTTTCTATTGGCTGATGTTTATCTGGCCTCACTACGTCCACAGTGGATAGATTTTCATTCTTTTTTTTCTTTTTTGTTTTGTTTTTTGGTCATAATTACAAAACTGCTGCGTCTCTGTAATGGTATTTTAAACTTTCATTGACAATTTGAAACTTTAAAAAAATCCTCCATACAACCTTTAAGCAATGTCATGCGCAGTTTGACAAATTTATTTTAATATGTAATTTCTTGTGTTGTATGGAGGATTTTTCAAGGGAAGTGAAATACAGCAACAGTCCTTTTTCCAAATGTTGTGCATGTGTGACACCACCTTCCTCCTCCACAGCCTCAGTAGAAACATCTCCTCCCGCCTCTTTACTCTAGAAATCACGCTTGTTTACATCCAGTGCGCGTTCAGAATTACTGTTGAAGTGACCTGCCTAGAAATATTTTAGCGACCGACGAAGGACTGAGACCGGGACCAGACCGACCCCTTCGTCTGCTTCAGTCTCGCAATCGCTGGAAGGAATCTCCAATCTCACCTCAGTTTGTCTTCGCTCCTTTTCTCCTTCTCTTCTTCTTTCAGCGACCTCAAAAACTGACTTTCTTTTGCGGCGAACTGGCCGTGGATTCTCGCACAAACTTTGTGCGAACTGTGACGAAGCTACAGTTTGAAAAAGCCTCTAAGAACCGCATAAAGAACCACATAATCCCAGCGCGCCGACGAGTCAGTTACACTAGAAATGTAGGAAGTTTGATTGAAAACCCAACAGCCAATAGAAAATGAGGCAGCCTCGTTTTCTATTGGCTGATGTTTCTCTGGCCTCAACACGTCCACAGTTGATAGATTTTCATTCTTTTTTTTTTTGGTCATCATAATTACAAGGCTGCAGCATCTCTGTAATGGTGTTTTAAACTTTCAATGACAATTTGAAACAAACAAAAAAAATCCTCTATACAACCTTTAATACTAAAATTCAGACTTTATGAGATTTGTTGCTGGTAAACAGTAATTAAGGTTAAAAGGAGTAAAAGGGAACACTGTAAGAGCCAATTATTTTTTTCTTTTTTTTTTTTTGGCGCTCTTACAGTGTGTTCACAAACAAGGGCCAAAAATAAAAAGTTGTGAACCGTCAGAGACCATCATTTCAACCGGGAGGCTACAATAAGTGCATTAAAAAACCTGGAGTCACGCGTTCTGCAGTTTTAACGCAGTTCGTGGAGGAACATCAGTGTCCTGCTCGTCGTTAAAACTTCAGAACACGTGACTCCTCGTTGTTCAGTGTTTAAAGTTACATATTCAACATTAAACTCTGTCAGTCCAGTTTTTCCTTCTTTCTTGAGTCTGTGGAGAGAAACAAAAGCTCGGACTCGGTGTAACATTTAGAATAGATTTATTAAGCCAGTCAAATACAAAAGTGTCACATGTGCTTTCGCCTAAGAGCAAAGAAACAGGAAAAACAACGGCGTTTTTACAGCGTACCAAAAAGTGCAACGACTTTAACTGTGATCCCTAAACTCAGACCAGAGAAAAACACAGAGAGAAAGAGAAAAAAAAGCCCTTTAGGAGCAGGACTGGAGACCGGGACCAGGGTCTGGACCAAAGAGTCTGGACCAAAGAGTCTGGACCACCACCCTTTAGGAGCAGGACTGAAGACCAGGACCAGAGTCTGGACCTAGGACCGTGGTCTGGATTAGAGCCCTTTAGGAACAGGACCAGAGGGTGAACCACAGTCTAGACCAGAATCTGGATCAGGAACCAGAGTCAGGACTAAATATCAGGGTGGACCAGAGTCTGGACCAGAGTCTGGACCAGGAACCGGAGTCAAGACTAAAGACCAGGGTGGACTGGAGTCTGGACCAGAGTCTGGACCAGAGTCTGGACCAGAGTCAGGACTAAAGACCAGAGTGGACCAGAGTCTGGACCAGAGTCTGGACCAGAGTCTGGACCAGAGTCTGGACCAGAGTCTGGACCAGAGTCAGGACTAAAGACCAGAGTGGACCAGAGTCTGGACCAGAGTCTGGGCCAGAGTCAGGACTAAAGACCAGGGTGGACCAGAGTCTGGACCAGGAACCAAAGTCAGGACTAAAGACCAGGGTGGACCAGAGTTTGGACCAGGAACCGGAGTCAAGACTAAAGACCAGGGTGGACTGGAGTCTGGAACAGAGTCTGGACCAGAGTCTGGATCAGGGACCGGAGTTAGGACTAAAGACCAAGGTGGACCAGAGTTTGGACCAGAGTCTGGACCAGGGACTGGAGTCAGGACTAAAGACCAAAGTCTGGACCAGAGTTTGGACCAGAGTCTGGACCAGGGACTGGAGTCAGGACTAAAGACCAAAGTCTGGACCAGAGTTTGGACCAGGAACCGGAGTCAAGACTAAAGACCAGGGTGGACCGGAGTCTGGACCAGAGTCTGGACCAGAGTCTGGACCAAGGCCCTTTGAGGAGCAGACCAGGACTAAAGACCAGGACTTAAAGACCGAGGTGGTGTTTGGACCGGAGTCTGGACCAAGGCCCGGCGTCTGGTCCACCGCCTTTTGAGGAGCAGAACAGCACTAATAAAGACCAGGACTGGACCGGGACTAGAGACCGGGGTGGAGTCTGGACCGGAGTCTGGACCGAGGTCTGGACTGCAGAAGTGGGACCCAGATTTTAGTGTTAAAAACTGTTTGTCAAATCTCAAATCGCACATTTCCGTTTCTCGTTTCAGTCAAAAATTAAATCACAAATTCAACTTTTTCTACTTTTACTATTTTTTTTTATTTTATCCTCAGACACCAGGGGGCGTCAAAAACAACACAGCTTTATCACTTAATCATTTTTAATCGCTTTCGTAAATTTTTTTATGGATTAAAATTTCAAAAATGAGCCAAATTTGCACCGTGACAACAGAAGCTTTAACTCCTGAGACCTGGGCCTTTGTGAAGTTTGAAGTACCTGTGGTCCAACTGTGGTATGCAGTATTTGTACTTGTACTTGTACTTCATTGAAAACAGAGATTTGGAAACAAGAAAAAAGTTCAAATACAAAACACACTCAGATGAAGAGAAAAGACGGAGCTGGTTTCGTCACTAAAACTTCAAATTTGTTTTGAATTTTAACAGCGTTGGACTTTTTTTTCCCAAATATTTGCGCAAAATTTGTCTTAACTTTGCGCTTTTATTGCTAAAGCAGCTGTTGAGGTCAGAATACGTCTGCTGTGTACTGCCTGCATCGAATTGTAGTATCAGGAAGTGTTCTTTAGCATGCTAGTAGTTGGTTTGTGCGCACTGAAAACCATTTGAAATGAACGGTTTTGTTTTTCGCGTTTTTTTTAAGACCGTAAAAATGAGGTACGGCGCCTTTAAAAAGTAGTTTTACAGCGTTACTGCTTTAATTTTTGGAAATTTGGATTTAGCGTTTCAATTTGAATCTCAATTTTGGTCAAAAAACCCAAAATCAAACCACAAAAAGAGATTTTCTTTTAAAATGTTGAAATACAAAACGAAAATTTGACCTCATCGTAACTTCTTGAACTTGAACTTAAAAATCTTTCATTACATTGATTCCTTTACGAATAATTTAAAAGCTGCACTGTGTAACTTTTCTGGTGGAAACGGAAACGAGGAGATGTTACGGTTTTGTCTGGAAAGTTCCGGTGTGGCTTTAAACGTGTCCGTCTCGCCTTTTCTCAATAACGTGGGTTTTTATTGACCTAAAAATGTTTTATTGCACTTTTCCTACAGTGAGTGGGCTCGCCTCTCCACAGATCTGACCCGTAACTTGGCCCCTGTGGCGTCACCTGTTGTCTCCGTAGAGATAAACACATGTAATGCTACACTGTGGAACATTACAGACAAGATCACCAGAACCTTTAAGTAAAAATGTTAAATAAAATTGTTTAAAAATGTGGAGAAAACACATCATTTTGATAATTTTTTAACAATTCTACTTAATATCTTTAATTAAAGCTGCACTCTGTAACGTTTGTGGAGGATCTGCCATCTCCTCGTCTCCATGGAGATGTTACAGTTTTATCTGGAATGTCCCAGTGTGGCTTTAATCCTACCCATCTTGCCTTTACTCAATAACATGAGTTTTCTTTGCGTTCTAACTGTGCGTGGGCTCGCCTCTCCACAGATCTGACATTTAAATTGGCCCCTGTGGTGTCCCCTGCTGTTTCCATAGAGACAAATAAGCGTAAAGTCATACTGTGGAACATTCCAGACGAGGGGAGAAGCAGGTGACAGGACACCACCAGAACATTTAATTAAAAATATTAAATAAAACTGTTACAAACATTGGAAAAACAAAGAATTTTTATATATGTTTTTACAATTTTATTTAATATTTTGAATTAAAGATGCACTGTGTAACTTTTCTGGTGGAGTTTTGTTACAGTTCTGTCTGGAATGTCCCAGTGTGGCTTTAAACGTCTCTTGCATTTTCTTAATAACACGGGTTTTCTTTGCATTCTTACAGTGAGTGCGCTCGCCTCTCCACAGATCTGACATGTAACTTGGCCCCTGTGGCGTCACCTGCTGTTTCCATAGCGACAAATAAGTGTAAAGTCATACTGTGGAACATTCCAGACAGTATCACCACGGAGAGAAACGGGTGACCGAACACTCAACCAGAACCTTTAATTAATAATATTAAATAAAACTATTACAAACATTTTTAATTAAAGGTGCATTGTGTAACTTTTCTGGTGGAGGGTCTGCCAGCTCCTCGTCTCCATGGAGATATTATAGTTTTGTCTGGAATGTCCCGGTGTGGCTTTAAAAATCTCCATCTTGAATTTACTCAATAATGTTGGTTAATGTATGGCCTTTGCATTCTTACAGTGAGTGGGCTCGCCTCTCCACAGATCTGACATGTAACTTGGCCCCTGCGGTGTCACCTCCTGCAGTTTCCATAGCGACAAATACGCGTCAAGTCATACTGTGGAACATTCCGGGAAACGGCAGCAAGCGACGACTCCTCTGCGAGAAAAGTTACACAACGCACCTTTGATTAAATCGTCAAAAATTCATCAAAATTCTGCGTTGTTTTTTTTCGCCAAATTTTAAAACATTTCGAAAAGTCGCTATTTATTAATTTGTTTATTTTTATTTTGTAGAAACCAGCTCCGGTATGCAAAAAACATCAACCTCTCTTTAATAAAAACAAATAAAACAAAAACAAAAACAGAGTGACGGGCGACGTCTGTGAACGCGCCGCCGCCGGACGAGCGAATGAGTTTAGGTCCATCGTCATGGAAACGGCCCGTGCGCGCGTGGTTTGCGTGGACGTCGCGTGTTTGTTCGTGTGTGTGTGTGTGTTCGTGTGTGTGTCTTTAAACGTCCGAGCGCGGTACGAACGAAATGGGGGGGGGAGTTTTTTTCGATACTACGAGAGTTTTTTTTTTTTTGTTTTTTTTTTTAAATCTACGACACAGAGAAACAGCATTACCCAGGACAATGGTGCACACGGATCCAATGGAACTATCAAAAAACAGCAGGATATAAATAAATAATCACAATCGCATCTTTGCTTTAGAAAATAATCCAAAAAAATAAAAAAAAACTAAAAATATAAAAAAAATAAAATAAATTCAATTCAATTTCCCATCGTCGGTTTGCGTGGGACAGTCGTAGAACATCGATGAAGACGGACAGCGCACGTTTCGGGGAACAAAGCTTCGTGACGTGGGAAATTTTTTACGTGAATTTTCGTCGTGGATAGTTTTGTTTTATCGGCGACGCGGTGAGAAATTGTAATTGTACTTTTGAGTTAATTGGTTTTTCGTTGTGCTTTTTTCGCTTGTCAACGTTGAGAATTGTTGAAGGAATTGAGTAAAAAATACCAAATTAAATGTGGATTAATTAATACCATTAAGCGTTTTTTTAATTTTTAATTTTAAATAGTTTTCTGTTTTCAAAATAGGGACAATATTAAGTCTTTTTATTTCGTATTTTCAATTTTATTGTATTTTAATTTAAAGTGCATATGACAGGTTAGTTCATTTAAAAATTTTTACTTTCTATTTTTTGTTGTTGTTTTTGTTTCAGCAAAGTTTTAAAAAGTTTATAATTTCACTTCCAAAAAAAAAAAAAAAAAAAAAAATTGAAATAATAAAAAAATGTATAACAAATAAAATAAAATAATAACAAAAAATAATAATAATAATAATAAATAAATAAAATAATAAAATAAAAAAAATAATTTAAAAAACTACCTCCTGGTTATATGTAGCTGTAATTTTATTTATTTTATTTTATTATTTTCAATGGTCCAAACATGTCAAAATTACACAATAGTTATGATTATTAGACAAATTATTATTATTTTATTTACAGTATTCCTCTTTTTATTTTTGAAGATGGCGCTACTCTTTCAGTATTTTTGTTTTATTTTTCAACTTTTTTTGTCCATAAACTGCCTCTGGACTGATTTAAAAGTCAAAATTTGAAAAATACAAAGACCTGCCATATGCACTTTAAATTGTAATTGTGTTTTTTTGGAAATTAATTACTGAATGAGCTGCTCTTGTTTCAAAACTAAATGAAAAGTGAGGCTTGGGCGAACAAAAACAGTAAATTAAACATGATTAAAAGTGTTACAGAGGGATATTTCCACTGTTTATGATGTATAATTATTTGTATTTTATGAGGCTGAGTTCCCGCGGCGGCGTGCGCTGTCGTCACGTTCACATGAGTATGGCTGGAATGGAGTCCTATATCTGACCCGGGGAATGGCTTGTTCAAACCCTACAAAACTAAGTGCCACTTTTTTGTGTTTTTTTTTTTACATATTTGCAGAAAGAACGATCACATATTCCAACCTATTTAACAAACAACTCCAAATCCTGATCATAAAAAAGAGGGAAATCAAATCCATGTGTGTAGAGAAGAGCCAAGTGTCCACAAAGAGCTTTAGAAAACCAAGTATAAACACACGGTCGATATCTACAGTAGGAAAGAGAAGCCGCCGGCGCCGCGGGCCTCAGTGCTTCCCGGGGTCCGCGGGCTGACGCTCGCGCTTCGCAAATGCAGCGGCAGCAGGGGGCGCCACTGTGGCCGCTGCCGACGGATCTGTAGAACAAAGGAAAGAGAGTAAGAGTTAAGTGCACTGTGGAAAGGTAGAAATACACAAAGTACATGTTATATAAAGTACATAACAGAAAAGCATTTTTCAGATTATAAGTTGCACTTTTTTTCATGGTTTGGGTGTTTCTGTGACTTCTATATTAAAATGTTTGAGTGAAGTGTGGAGAGGCTCTAGTCTTGTGTGTCAGTATCTGCTGCTCCTTAAGGCCAATTTACAGTCCAGTGTCAAATCATGTGTGTCGGCGTGTACCCCCCACGCAGAGCGTCTGCGTCGACCGACATGCACCTCCGAACTCTAACTACGCATTGAAACGACGCAGACGATAAGAGCTGTGACTGGTCGTCCCTACCACCGCACTACACACATTTCCTGTACTCAGCTTTACTTTCTTTCAATACACATTGAGTAATAATGTGTTTAATGCAGCTTTGCGCATATTTGTTTACGTTTTACAGAAACAAAACATAAAACCACATGGCTCGGACTAAAGGACACGACTCAGTGGAATATGAGTGTTCTTTCTGTGACAGAGGGGTGTTCTGCTGATGGTGAGTCTGTTCTGTGTTTCTGTCATGTTAAACTTCCATCCATCCATTTTCTTCTACTTATCCGGGGCCGGGTCGCGGGGGCAGCAGTCTAAGCAGGGACTCCCAGACTTCCTTCACCCCAGACACGTCCTCCAGCTCCTCCGGGGAGACCCCGAGGTGTTCCCAGGTCAGCCGAGAGACATAGTCCCTCCAGCGTGTCCTGGGTCTTCCCCGGGGCCTCCTCCCGGTTGGACATGCCGGAACACCTCCCGAGGGAGGCGTCCAGGAGACATCTGTTCCATGCCCGAGCCTCAACTGGCTCCTCTCGACATGGAGGAGCAGCAGCTCTACTCCGAGCTCCTCCCGAAGCCTTCCCTCCAGAAGCCCTATATGACAAGCGTACCAACGAGGCCAGTTACGTCACCCGGATCGGCATCACCGGAGCCCCACCCTGGAGCCAGGCCTGGGGTGGGTGCTTCCCAGCGAGCACCTGGTGGCCGGGCCTTCCCCCACGGGGCCCGGCCGGGCTCAGCCCGAACGAGCGACGTGGGGTCTTCCTCACGTGGGCCCACCACCCGCAGCAGTCGACGGCGGGGGCCTCGGCGACCGGATCTCTGGACATGGAGACTAGCTCATGTGAAACATTTCAGAGATTATACATCTGCAGGTTGTGCACACAGACACACGTTTATATGAATGGACAGATATTCTAGCCTCTTAGCATTTCAGAGGTGAATTATTTCGCGGTGCACAGACCTCGACGCAGATCCACAAATCTAAAAAACGACGGCAACAAGGCGATGGTGGCAGTGCGTGTTGACTCAATGCAGAACTATACTTCACCCTTTCCTCCTGTACCACTGTCACTTGGCTCTACTGCACATGTCTCCTGCAGAAAGAGCCTCTGTTCTGTCTGTATCATGTCAGTTGATCGCAGCATTACTTCTGCACCACTGAACAATTAAACATTTAAACAAACTTATAAAGACAAAGACGGAGAAGACTGAACACAAATGCCCCCAAAAACAAAATCAGATTTTACAGATTACAAACTGCAAATCGTGAAATCTGCAGCTGAAAACGATAATCGAGCAGCAGAAAGAAAATTTGGAGTGAGAGAGAAACTTGTGACACCGGGAGGATGCACCATGAAACTTTCCTGAAGTCACTGGATGGATGGACAAAGCCTGGACTTCAGTGACACTGAAACCATCCTGTCGGGATTCAGAAAGACCCGAATAATTCTAACTGGAACTGATACTGAGTCTGACGACAGCGACACAGAAGAGGAAGCGTCGCTCTGTTTACCTCCTGGAGGTCGAGGGAGTTGTTCAGAAGTGACACCGAGGATGAAGAATTAAATGGATTTAGTGATTTGGAGTGAGATGGAGAGTTTGTTAAACTTGTTCTGTTCTATTGTTTATGTTGTAGTTTATCTGAAGAACTGTTCATATGTGACGTTAACAGTCTGTTCTTCTCTCTTCCGTTGTTTTTATTAGAACTTCACTTTACACAGGAAATGTCGGTTCTTCGGTTTTCCCCCAAAAGATGCGACTTATGTTTTTTCTTCTTCATTATGCATTTTTGGCTGGCGCGACTTTTAGTCCCAGAAATACAGTACATTACAATTTTATTGTCAGAAACTTCCCCCTGGGTCACAACCAAGTGTGTTACAGAGTTCACTCACACAAAGGTCACAGTTTCACTTCCAATACACTGTACACACAAGAGTTACATTTCACCCACATTGTCTAGTTTGAATGTGGTGTGTGTCAACTGTGTGTGCGTGTGTGTGTGTGTTAACTGCGTGTGTATTTGTGCGTGTGTGTGTTATTAGTGGTTGATGGCGCAGATTTGCAGCTTGGAAGTTCACCCCCAAAAAGTGTGGAGAATAAAAGCGTAGATAGCTTTGTTACCTGTATGTGTGTGTGTATGTGTGCGTGTATGTGTGCGTGTATGTATATATGTGTGTGTGTATGTGTGCGTGTATGTGTGTGTATGTATATATGTGTGTGTGTATATATGTGTATATGTGTGTGTATGTGTGTGTATGTATATATGTGTGTGTGTATATACGTGTATATATGTGTGTATGTATGTGTATGTATATGTGTGTGTGTGTGTATATATATATATGTGTGTGTGTATATATATATATATATATGTATATATGTGTGTGTGTGTGTGTGTGTGTGTGTGTGTGTATGTATGTATGTATGTATATATATATATGTGTGTGTATATGCGTGTATGTGTGAATATATATGTGTGTGTGTGTGTGTGCGTGTATGTATGTATGTGTGTGTATATGTGTGTGTGTGTATATGTGAGTGTGTATATATGTGTGTATGCGTGTATGTGTGAGTGTATATGTGTGTGTGTGTGTGTGTGTGTATGTGCGTATATGTGCGTGTATGTATGTATGTGTGTGTATATGTGTGTGTGTATATATATATATGTGTGTGTGTGTGTTACCTGCGTTCTCTGGAGGCGGTCGTAGACTCTCCCCCACGGCTCTGGCTCCTCTGGGCTGAGAGAAGGACGACTGCCACGGGAAACCCTGCTTACAACACAACACAACACAACCTGCTTACAACACAACACAACACAACCTGCTTACAAACAACACAACACAACCTGCTTACAACACAACACAACCTGCTTACAACACAACACAACAACACAACACAACCTGCTTACAACACAACACAACACAAACTATTTAAAATATACCGTATTTTCCGGGCTATTAGTCGCTCTGGATTATAAGTCGCACTGTCATTAAAAGGTCTATTTTCTAACTTTTTCCACAAATAAACCGCGTGGGACTTTAAAGGAAACCCAACAGTGTGATGGGTGAGTGGTTTTGTTTGTTTGTTCGTTCACGGTGACTCTGGGCTTTGTTCAGTTGTGGCGTGTAGGGAGGGTGTGTCTGGGACCAACGGATTGTCGGCGTGTTCGCAGTGACTCAGTCGTTCAGTCGTGTCTAGAAGTGGCACGTCGCGCTCGCTTTTTCGGTTCGTTCCTCCGTTCCGTTCCTCGTCGGCGTGGAGCGATGAGTGTGTCTGCGGGTGTTTTTCGCCGTCTGCTCCGTGCGCGTTGGCGTGCCGAGTGGACACCCGAGTGGATTCGTGTATAGGGCGCTCTGGATTGTCGTTTTTTGATGGGGTTGGAGGCTTAAAACCGTGCCCAATAGCCCGGAAAATACGGTACATCTCATTCACAAAACACAACAAACCAGACGTACACACAGGAGAATCACTGGGCCACATTCATGAATCTTTTCTTTAAAAATGTTCCTAACTTCCACTTTAAAAAGATGCGGAGAGACTCTGCTCCAGATTCACAAAACGTCGCCAATGTGGGTTTGGTATTTTGACATGACGGAGAGTGAACGAGAAAGTCAGGTGGAGCGTCTACAGATTGTTTTACATCTTCAGCAGCGATTTTAAAAGTCCAAACTCACATGAACACACTCACGGAGGAAAATTTTTAAGTCAGGGGTCTCCCAACTTTTGTCTCTGGGGGCCACATTCTCGCTCCTGACTGTAATGGGGGTCGGGGTCAGAATTATTTGTAGTAAGAGTGCGCTCTGGTCATGAGGCGTGATGTTGGTGTTGAGTCCAGCGCGGAAACTCTGTGTTAGACCCAATAGACACATGCTCTGTCACACAGTCATATTTTTACAGGAAATAATTTAAGAAAATATATCACTTACAATCATGGAGGAATTAGAATTTTTAGTTGCATTATCAGAACAATAAAATTCTAAAACCGTTGATTTTTTTGTTCTTACGATGCTCCTGACATAGGATTTGTTCTTCCAGAAGAACATTTTAACATTTTCAGTTAAAAAAAAAGTTTGTGAATTCCAAAAAATGTTCATGAGAAGGACTAAAGTATAAAATTTGTTTCATGAATGAGGCCCAGTGAGATGAAGGGTGTGTGTGTTTGTGTGTGTGTTTGTGTGTGTGTTTGTGTGTGTGTTTGTGCTTTAGGCCTGAAGCATCGAAATAGAAAATCAGATAGAAAGAAGAGCCTTTTAAATAGTAGCCACTCCAGAATTTAAGTGAAAAAGGGACATTATTTTGAAGAAAAGTTGGAGTAAAATTTTAAAGCAGCAGTAGCAGTAGCAGTAGTATCAGCAGAAGCAGTAGTAGTAGCAATAGTAGTAGCAGTAGTAGTATCAGCAGAAGCAGTAGTAGTAGCAGTAGCAGTAGCAGTAGCAGTAGCAGTAGCAGTAGTATCAGCAGAAGCAGTAGTAGAAGCAGTAGTAGTAGTAGTAGCAGTAGTAGTAGTAGCAGTAGTAGTAGTAGTAGTAGCAGCAGTAGTAGCAGTAGTAGTATCAGCAGAAGCAGTATGTCCCAGTACCAGGGCTGGATGTGTATGCAGTAAAAGTAGCATTGGGCATTGGGCTGGCAGTCAGTGGTGGAAAGATAGTTGCAGTAGTAGTAATACTGTAGTAGTACGCAGTTGTAGTAGAAGTATAAAGGCATTGTGAAATTGTTAATCGCTATGGCAACAAAATGGAAACTCATGGACAGTAGAAAAAGTAAGAAAAGCAGCAGAACACAAAGCAGAGAACTGGGCCAATAGTCTACAGTAATATAGTAGTAGTAGTAGTAGCAGTAGAAGTAGCAGTAGAAGTAGCAGTAGTAGTAGTAGTAGCAGTCTCACCGGGGCACTGGGCCAGTAGTCTACAGTGGTAATTGTAGACGTAGTAGTAATACTACCAGTCTTCCCTGGCATTGTGGTACAGTAGTATAAGTAGCAGTAGTAACAGTGGAAGAAACAGTACCAGTAGTAGTACCAGTTTTACTTGGAAATTGTTTAGTAGCAGTACAGTAGTAGTAGTACAGTAGTAATGGTATTAGTAGTAGAAAAAGTAGCAGTATTAATAGTAGAAATAGCAGCAGCATTACCATTGGTAGTATAGGTAGAAGTACCAGTCTTACCGGAGCGTTGGGCGGCTTGTATACAGTAGTAGTAATAGTAGTAGTAGTAGTAGCAGTAATGGTAGAAGTAGTAGCAGTACCAGTACCAGCAGTAGCCTACAGCAGTAGTACACAGTAGTAGCAGCAGTAATAGTAACAGTAGCAGTAGTAGTAATAGTAGCACCAGTCTTACCGCGGCGGTGGGCGGGTAGTTGACAGTAGTGACAGTAGTAGTAGTAGTAGTAGTAGTAGTGATAGTAGTAGTAGTAGTAGTAGTAGTAGTACCAGTCTTACTGCAGCGTTGAGCGGGTAGTTGACAGTAGTAGCAGTAGTAATAGTATAGTAGTAGCAGTAGTAGTAGCAGTAGTAGTAGTAGCAGTAGTAGTAGTAGTAGTACCAGTCTTACCGCGGCGGTGGGCGGGTAGTCCCGGACAGGGGGCGGGGCTGCTGTGGGCCCTGTTGCCGTGGCGATCCTCGGGGGGAAGTGAATGGGCCACGCCTCCAGCCCCTGCCCCTGCACCTGCACAAACGGCCCGCAGTACGGCGGGCTGAGGGGGGCGGGGCCTAGCACGGGGGCGGGGCCTACAGCGGGGGGGTCACGTCTGTCCTGAGTCTGCCCCTACGACCAGCACCAGCCCGTTACCATGACGAACAACAACACGAGACTTTCAAGAACTTTACACTGAGCATGGAAACAACCAACATTATGAACATGAAGAAGATGAGGAGGAAACTTTATGGAACTGGATGAAACATTTATGAAACATTTAAGGTTTAAATTTAAGGAGTTTGAGGAAAATGGTTGATATTTCATGATAATGTTTGATAATCATTCAACTGTGGATGTTTCATTGAGTTTTAATCAAATGAATTTAATCCATGGTGTAATTTTAAAATGTATTATTTTTTTAATACATAGTGATAATGTTCAATTTTCTTTTAGGTTTTTTGCCTCTTTTGGCACCTACTTTTTATCTAGAGTGTTTTTTATTGTTATGTTATATGTGGGCCCGGTCAAGCAGAAGTAAATATATAAAAATGTATTGAACAGATACATATGTTCTCTAGTTTATGAAACTGTTGACCTTTTTTCTGTACCATTTTTGGTTCTAAAGTTCCATATGTTTTAAACAGACCATGTATGAAACATGGAACAAAAATTATTTCCCAAATTTCAAAGACCTGCAGATCATGTCAATAAATGGATGTATTTCATCATATCTTGTGTTATTCCAGCTTTGAACTGTTGATGAAGGTACATGATTTTTTTTTAAAATTTATTTTAAATGATAAACATTTGCTTGGAAGGACTGACATATTTTATAGAAATAGTTTCCTTTCATTTTGAAGTAATATTAAAGTATTCGGAAGAAAAAAGTTGACAAATCATGTAAAATCATGCACCTTCTACTTGTTTGTACAATTTTCCCTCCGTTACCATGAACTTTCTTAATAAAAAATCTCATGAGTCAAAAAGTCAGAGGTTTTTCAACCTAATCTTGTACCATATGGTAGAAAACTATATGAAGCAAATATTCAAACCAGTTTGTTAAGGATATGTAAGTGAGAACCAAGAGTTATCACTGTTTGGATTTATTGCCCAAAAAGTGCTGCATATTTCATTCCCTCCGTTACCGACATGAGTTTTTAAAATTTTTTTGTCAACAACTTGAAAGAATATCACAGGTTTAACTTGACCCTGTTGGAGTGTAACTCTTTCCTACATTCTGATACTTTACTTATTTCAATAGTCCCTCTAGTTTCTGAATAAGAGACATTTGAATGTCAAAAATCTGCCTCTGTTTCCCTCCGTTAACACTTGACCGAACCCACGTGCAAAATACATTTCAAAAAGAAACTTGACCAAGCTAGTGTGACCCAGACGTCCCCATTTACCCGGGACAGTCCCAGTTTTGAGCCTGTGTCCCAACAGATTTATCCAAAACCCAGTGATTTGTCGCAGTTTTATACAAGAAATGTTCCAGGTGTCGCTATTTTTCACCAATTTGACCCTTGCCAACAGTAAAAAGAGGCATAAATTGTGATTTGTTTATGTAAAATACAGAAAAGATGCTTAAAAACTACCAAAACACAAAGGAAAACGTGACTATACTGACTCACATTAGTCATGAATGAGCCGAGTGCAGAACAATTAATTAATTACTAGGGGTGTAACGATATAAAAGTCTCACGATATGATATTCGTCACGGTATGAACCTCACGGTACGATATTTATTTTGTTTATATTTCATTATATTTATTTCGATTGCTGCACCATAACTCTTAATTTAAGCAAAGAGACTTGTAATTCTATATATTGTGATGGTCCACGATATTATTGTGAGAACTTTAACAATAAAATATCACGATATTTTGGTTACTGTTACATCCCTGGTAATGACGCATTTGTTTCACAGTTTTATTATTAACAACCAACACAAACAGGGGATGTCCCAGTTTATTATTTTGAAAATCTGGTCAGCCTAAACCTGACTCATCTGTGTCCAAATCAAATCTAACCTTTTCCCTTCGACAACTGTAATGATGATTTTGGACTTGGACAGGTTCAAAACTGAAATACAGTTGACTTCTTGAGGTTTTTTTTTTTAAAGGTCGTACAGTAAGAGCTGGATTTATGTTTCGGCTGCTGCTTTTTTTTTTTTCAGTAATTCCACTCATTGCCGAAAATTAAACCAGGTCTAAACCAGGTCTAAACTAGATCTAAACCAGGTCTAAACCAGGTCTAAAACCAGGACTAAACCAGGACAAAACCAGGACTAATACAGGAGTAAAACAGGTCTAAACCAGGACTAAAACCAGGTCTAAACTAGATCTAAACTAGATCTAAACCAGGTCTAAAACCAGGACTAAACCATCACTAAACCAGGACTAAAACAGGATTTAACAGGACTAAACCATGCTGTGCGGACACGTCTCCTCTTCTTCTATCAATAATATTTTTAATTCGGTTAAGTAAAGATTTTCTTTTATCAGACAAAACATCTGATGTTACGATATCCTCATCTTTGCTTCTCTACAGCAAATCAAGTAATCCAAAGTATTCAGATTACATTACTCACCTGAAGTAATTTAATGGATTACGTTACAAACTACATTTTGGGGGATGTAATCTGTAATCTGTAGGGGATTACATTTTAAAAGTCACCTTCCCAACACTGTTCACACAGAAGACATCAGCGGGTTCATCCGGGTCACACATGGTAAAATAAACAAAGAAAATGTGTGTGGAACATGGAGGAGAACCAAAAGACCAAATACTTGCTCTATGTTCGCATGGTAAAGGTTACATCTTTGGACTCAGCGTAGACACATAATGATTTGTACGAGTCTAAATGCTCGCCGGTGTCCATGATGCGATCCATGATTATTTTCTTTCGTGTGGCCTTGTTTTTATTTGGTGGTAAATCCACACCCTCTGTCGATGACGCATCGCGGGTTCACTTAAACGGTCTGAACTAGGGACGGGCATTCGATGAAATTTTCTTAATCGATCGTCGGAAGAATTAACGATCGATTATCGATTAATCATTAATGCTTTTATATTAAAATGATCATCATTATTATTACTATCTGCACTAATCTGTATAAATAAATTCAACTTTACGACATATAAACCGTAACGACTCTAGATCCACATCAGCTGTTTGACATTATAATGTGTTTAATTCAGTTTTGTTCAACTCTCACAGAAACAAAACTTAAAACCACATCACTAATTTGCATAAACTAAGCGAAGATAAAACTCCAGCTCTTGTGTCGCTGATGTGGTTCAATTTCTGTTGGATTAAAAGACATGACTCAGGTGAATACAGGTCAGTGTGACCAGATTTGTGTTTGTCAAAACCAGGACAGCGTACGGGGGGAGGGGGGCGGGGCCTCGTCATCCACATTGAGCGACTCTCACCTGGAAAAACTTTTTCCCACTGGACACAGAAACATATGTGCTGCTTTATACACTGCGCACATGGACTCACACTTGTCCCCCAACGCAACGGAAAGTCTGGAATTTCTTGTACAAATCATCGTTAAATCCACATTTGTGCTTCGGTTCGTTGCAGACTGACCCACTGTTTCTGTTTGTGTCTATGTACAGACCCGTTTGGTCACGGTACTCTACGCACAACAACCTACATTCAGTTTGTCGATTAAAATTAACGTAATCGATGAAATTCTCAATGATCAATTATCGATTAACCGATTAATCATGCCCATCCCTAGTCTGAACGCAGCTCATTCTTCGGTAAAAACTTTGATGCCCAGTGTAACCGGAGCGGGAACCGGCACCGGCACCGTTCTGACCGGCCTGAAAACGGCTTCTGACCCGAACGATCTCGACCCAAACCCGAGGCCTGTCCAGATACTGAGCAGAATGATCAAGGGTCAGATGCGACTGTAGCACAGGCTGAATACAGTTCCTTAAAATTTTTACAAAAACAAAATAAAACAAAAACAGTAAAAGTATGTAGTTTGTTTCTCGATCGAGGAAAAAGCTGCTTCACTTAAGTTCTAAACGGGTTAAGTTGTTTATCCAGTCTGCGTGTGCATTTTTATAGAATTACTGAAATTAAACATGTAGAAACTAAAAAATCTGTACAATACAATGACAAATCTGAAAGGGCGAGAACTGAAACGTGAAAATGTGATGTTGAAAAGTCCAGTGGAAAATGAGGAAGGTCAAACTACAGTCAGATCAACACATTTATTTATTTTAATCAGATAAATGAGAGTTTTCTGCGTCTGACAGCTCTGCCCTGGTCTGGTCTGGTCTGGAGTGAGGCTCTTCTCCTGGAACTGCTCAGTACTTCGGTGTTTGTGAGTTTGTGTTTGTGTTGTGTTGTGTTTTGTTGTGTGTAGAGGTGTGGTGTGTTTGTGGTGGTCACCTGTTTGTGGTGCTGCATCTGAAGTCTCTCCAGTTTACACCTCTCGCTCCTCTCTCTCTGACACTCGTTCTGAGCCTGGTGCAGCTGGACACACGACAAAAACAACAAAAACACAAAAAAACAAAAAACGGGTCAGACTCAAAAATATGACACTTTTAATACTTTTTATACTCAAACAGAGACTACAGCTGAATCGTGTGTCGTTCATTTGTTTTTCAAAATAAAACCAAAAATAAGAAAACAAAAAAACTACAATTTTTTTCGTTATTTGTCTCCAAAACTAAAATGAAAAAAAGGATTTGTTTTTTATTTTTTTTTTTTATTTTGTGTTTAAATGAAAAAGTGGAAAAATCGAATAACGACTGTTTCCCTTTTCCCTGAGTTAAACTTCGATGCCGGAGTTTTGCACCGCGTACGGACTGAACCAGGACTGAACCATTTTCAGTCCCGGCCTCAGTCCCGGCCTCAGTCCCGGCCTCAGTCCCGGCCTCAGTCCCGGCCTCAGTCCCGGCCTCAGTCCCGGCCTCAGTCCCGGCCTCAGTCCCGATCCTAGTTCAGATCCTAGTTCAGATCCTAGTTCAGATCCTAGTTCAGATCCTAGTTCAGATCCTAGTTCAGATCCTAGTTCAGATCCTGGTCCCGGTCTCAGTTCTTGCGTGGTCCCGTTCCCGGTCCCGTTCCCAATTCCGGTCTCTGTCCCGGTCTCTGTCCCGGTCTCTGTCCCGGTCTCTGTCCCGGTCTCTGTCCCGGTCTCTGTCCCGGTCTCTGTCCCGGTCTCTGTCCCGGCCTCAGTCCCGGCCTCAGTCCCGGCCTCAGTCCCGGCCTCAGTCCCGGCCTCAGTCCCGGCCTCAGTCCCGCCTCAGTCCCGGACGTGGTTTAGTCCTGTTTAAATCCTGGTTTAGTCCTGGTTCAGTCCGCCACCTCAGTTTAAGTCAGGGAAATGTTTTATCCGGGTTTTTTTTTCCATTTTTCATTTAAACACAAAACTGAAAACTGAAAAAATGAATCTTACAGTTATCCGTTTTTTCATTTTGGTTTTGGAGACAAATAATGAAGAAAATAGTTGTCTTTCCATTTTCTTATTTTTGGTTTTATTTTGAAAAACAAATAAATGAATGACACACAGATTCAGCTGTTTTTCAAACTTTCTATTAAAAACCCTATTACATAACACAGAAAGTTCATTCTTAGAAGTGATTCCTTGTTAATTCACGCAGGGTTTTTGGATGAAACGAGTTACATAAAATAAAACAGATTTGTAGATGAGCAGACGTTCTTACCTGGTTGGTCAGATTGGTGATTTGACCCTGTAGTCTCTCCACTTGTCTCCTCAGATCCTCCTTCTCCTCGTTCATGCGCTCACGATCGCTGCGTTCTTTCCTGAAGTCCTCCTCGAAGATCTTCACCTAAAAATAAAAAACAAAAACAGGATTTAAAGGTTACCCAGTTTTCTAGAGATGGACCAAACGAGTCGTGTCGAGCCGTGTGTCTGTGTGTATCACTTTAAGAACTTTAAGTAACTGATACATCTCCTGTGTTATTTGGTTTGTCTCAAGTCGGGAACATTGAGGCGGCTTGTTTAGAGCGGCGGCCACCAACCTTTTTTGCGGCACGGACCAAACGACCCACGGCCCGGCCTTTGGAGATCGCTGGTTTAGAGCATATGGTTTGGAGCGAAGTGCGAGGTTCAAATCTGTTGCAGTGTCTCTGTTTACAACAGAACGACGGAGAAGCAGAAGACAGCTCTGTTCTGTTTGGGCGCATTTTCATCAGTCCAAAGTGGAGCTCGCTACAGATTTACTGAAAGAATTACCGTATTTTTCAAACAATAAGTGGCACATTTTTCATGATTTGGATGTTTTCTGTGACTTATATATTAAAATTGTCAGACTGACAGCCATGAGAGGGCGCTCTAGTCTTGTGTGTCAGTTTTCCGGGCATGTTGTCTGCAGAAAAAGCCGCTGTCCTGCTGCAAGTCGTGAAATCTGCAGCTGAAAACTATAATCGAGCAGCAGAAAGAAAGTCTGGAGTGAGAGAGAAACTTGTGAGGGAAAGTGAGGATGGAGAACACAGCTTCACGGCAACCGGGAGGATGCACCATGAAACTTTCCTGAAGTCACTGGATGGATGGACAAAGCCTGGACTTCAGTGACACCGAAACCATCCTGTCGGGATTCAGAAAGACCTGAATAATTCTAACTGGAACTGATGCCGAGTCTGACGACTGCGACACAGAAGAGGAAGCGGCGCTCTGTTTACCTCCGGAGGTCGAGGCCGAGTTGCTCAGAAGTGACACAGAGGATGAACAATTGAAAGGAAGAACTGTTCATATGTGACGTTAACAGTCTGTTGTTCTCTCTTCTATGGTTTTTACTTGAACTTCACTTCCCCAAAAGGTGCGACATATGTTTTTTTTTTTCTTCTTCATTACGCAATTTTTGGCTGGTGCGACTTAAAGTAAAAATACAGTACTTTATTTTACTATTATACTGCTGTCATTTTCACACCCATTCACCTCGTCATGTATCACGTATTTTCCTGATTTATTGAACAAAGGGCTGTGATTTGCTTTAAAGACATAAGACTGCATCACCTTCCCGCTCAGTTCTTTTTGTTTTGTTGTTGTATTTGTCGGATATCAGCGTGAATCTATCACAAATGAGTGTCCTTGTGTCTGAAGGAACAAGCCCTGTGCTGTGCTGTGTCAATACTTCTGCATAGGACGCAGTTCATTTTTTTTAAACCAGCAGATGGCACTGTAGAACGCACCAACACCATGTTAACGCAGTATTGGAAACCTTAAAGTTTCATCTACTCAACACTACTATTCTCCATGTTAGAAAGTTGTTTCCTCATCAGAAACATTCACTGTGATCTTTGGAGATGTAGAAATAATAATAATTAAGTGTTACTTAAACATGTGAATGAAAAAAAACACAACTCCAGTTCTGTTTTTGAGGAGATAACAACATTATAACATGGTTTAAAGCTCACAAGCGTAGATTTTTGGTAATATAGGATCTTAAAGTACCACCCATAACTAGGGTTTTAACAATATCCAAGTCTCACAATACGACATCCTCACGGTATCAACCTCACGGTACGATATTTACTGCGATATCGTGGGAAAGCTCACGATACGGTGGGGAGTCTCACAGTTAGAGATGTAACAATATTCAAATCTCACGGTACGATATTTATTGCGATATTACTGTGTGTGACTTTTTCCTCTTAAAAAGCCTTGACAAGACTTAATCCAAAGAACTAAGACTTAAAAGTGTTCGAACTGTTATTTCTTCTTGTCGTCTGCACTGAAATGGAGCAAAGGATCGTGGTCTATGTAGTTCCCTCTGTCTTTTTTCTTTTTATCTATTTCTGCACCATAACTCTTCATTTAAGCAAAGAGACTTGTAATTCGACATACATTGCGATGGTCTACGTGTGCGTGTACCTGCTCCTTTAAGACTTGGATCTGGGTGAGCAGCTCTTGTTTCTTGAGGTTGTTGGCTGCGTCGCTGAAGTTGCTCTGTCCCGGAGGAGGCTGGGACGTGGAGGGCGGGTGCAGGTTCAGGGCTTCCTCCAACGCCTGCACACACAAACACAGAGTTTAAGTATAAATAAAAAAAATGGACTAACTTTGGACCAATGTGGACACCTTTCTTAAATGTTTCTGTAATAAATCAAAATGAATCAAACTAAATTAGGGCCGTTTCCAGAGGGAGTGACTGACAGGTGGATTAACCAATCAGAAAGAAGCATGCTGTATTGGCATCAAAAACAAACATGCCTGCTTGTACATAACAAAAGAGAAAAATCTACGTAAAAGAGCTGAGAAACAGTGCGGATTTTTACAGAATGGATTACTGTACCTGTTTTTAAATCTCTTCTCAAAACGCACTTGACACCGTTTGAGATGTTAACATTTTATTAGATTGTTTTGATTAGATTCTGTTTTTACGATGTTGTTTTATTGTTTTTGTTCATATGTTGTTTTATTGTTTTTGTTAGATTGTGTTTTTATTCATATGTTGTTTTAATGTTTTTGTTAGATTGTGTTTTTTTATTCATATGTTGTTTTAATGTTTTTGTTAGATTGTGTTTTTATTCATATGTTGTTTTATGTTTGTTTTTGTTAGATTGTGTTTTTATTCTATTGTGTTTTATTGTTTTGTGTTAGATTTGTTTTTATTCATTATGTTGTTTTATTGTTTTTGTTAGATTGTGTTTTTATTCATATGTTGTTTTATTGTTTTTGTTAGATTGTGTTTTTATTCATATGTTGTTTTATTGTTTTTGTTAGATTGTGTTTTTATTCATATGTTGTTTTATTGTTTTTGTTAGATTGTGTTTTTATTCATATGTCGTTTTATTGTTTTTGTTAAGATTGTGTTTTTATTCATATGTTGTTTTATTGTTTTTGTTAGATTGTGTTTTATTCATATCATTGTTTTTGTTTTTGTTGTTTTATTCATATGTTGTTTATTTTTTTGTTAGATTGTGTTTTTATTCATATGTTGTTTTATTGTTTTTGTTAGATTGTGTTTTTATTCATATGTTGTTTTATTGTTTTTGTTTAGATTGTGTTTTTATTCATATGTTGTTTTATTGTTTTGTTAGATTGTGTTTTTTATTCATATGTTGTTTATTGTTTTTTTTTATTGTTTTTTATTGATTTGTTAGATTGTGTTTTTATTCATATGTTGTTTTATTGTTTTTGTTAGATTGTGTTTTTATTCATATGTTGTTTTATTGTTTTTGTTAGATTGTGTTTTTATTCATTTATTTTTAGATTGTGTTTTTATTCATATGTTGTTTATTTTTGTTTTTGTTAGATTGTGTTTTTATTCATATGTTGTTTTATTGTTTTTGTTAGATTGTGTTTTTATTCATATGTTGTTTTATTGTTTTTGTTAGATTGTGTTTTTATTCATATGTTGTTTTATTGTTTTTGTTAGATTGTGTTTTTATTCATATGTTGTTTTATTGTTTTTGTTAGATTGTGTTTTTATTCATATGTTGTTTTATTGTTTTTGTTAGATTGTGTTTTTATTCATATGTTGTTTTATTGTTTTTGTTAGATTGTGTTTTTATTCATATGTTGTTTTATTGTTTTTGTTAGATTGTGTTTTTATTCATATGTTGTTTTATTGTTTTTGTTAGATTGTGTTTTTATTCATATGTTGTTTTATTGTTTTTGTTAGATTGTTTTTTATTCATATGTTTTTTATTGTTTTTGTTAGATTGTGTTTTTATTCATTATGTTGTTTTATGTTTTTGTTAGATTGTGTTTTTATTCATATGTGTTTTATTGTTTTTGTTAGATTGTGTTTTTATTCATATGTCTTATTTGTTTTATTTTTTTTGTTAGATTGTGTTTTTATTCATATGTTGTTTTATTGTTTTTGTTAGATTGTGTTTTTATTCATATGTTGTTTTATTGTTTTTGTTTATGTTAGATTGTGTTTTTATTCATATGTTGTTTTATTGTTTTTGTTAGATTGTGTTTTTATTCATATGTTGTTTTATTGTTTTTGTTAGATTGTGTTTTTATTCATATGTTCTGGAGCACTTTGGTCAGTCTGTGCCGTTACAAATAAAGTTGCAGTTGCAGTTGCATAATCAAATATCGAAGCACCAAACTATTAGCGAGACTGGCACCACCTACTGTATTGCCTCCGCTCAGTTTCATTTCTCTCCAGCGACTAGGTCAGGAATCCGAATACACTAGACGGTTTGCAAGAACCTCGGAAGAGCTGTGAAGCCATGACGTCAAACTCGTGGAGTCCGTCAGGGTCGATTTTGTGGAACAGCACAACAGTAAACAAAGCGTCGAGACGGATGTAGACGAAGACGGACATTCTGTGTTGGCGACGATTCCCGAGATCGAGGATTTAAAGCCGGAACAAAGAGAATGTTTGGCGAATTTTATCAAGGGGAAAGACGTTATTTGGCGCATTACATACGTCAAGACCAAACAGCAGCGACTGGTTAAACTTAGGACCGTGCACGTTAACGCGTTAATTTTGCATTAACTATTTAATTCATTATCGCCGACAATTATTTTAATGCCATCAACGCAGTTTTATTATTATTATTATTATTTATTTATTTTTTATGTTAACGTCTGTTTCTCACTGGCTTTTATTTTGAAAAAGTCCACCGTGAGTGTTTCTTTAAGTTTGATGTCTTTTCTTTACACTTTTTTCTGACCACGTGAGATTCAACGTGTCCGAGACTCCGCAGGCTCCAGACCAGCCGTGGGCTCGAGGTGTCCAGTGCGGTTTTCTTACATAATTCTATCACAGTGTATTCGCGAAGACCTGGAAGATTTCATGATATGATCCCGCCCATAACTCGATGAAATATGACTGGCTAAGACAACTGTCGATCTCAAACTCTCAAAGGTCCTGCAGGTGTTTGTTTAGTTCAGCGCTGCAGGGGGAGTCACTGATTTACCCAGATACAACTGGAAGAAAAACTGTGATTGGTCCATTTCCATTCCATTATATTAGCCCTTTGTTTCCCAAGAAATATCAGTCCAAGTTTATAACACTGATCTAGAAATTATTACTAGTGTCATGTTTATTACTCACTGAATTAAAAATACTGAAAAAATGTATTAGTAGTACAAAAATTCATTCAGTATTTTTTCTTGAACCTTCTGAATACCTTGAAGGATCTGAGGGTTCCTCTGAAAGAAATGTTCTGTTTGCACAATAAATGTTTGGCTCGTTCATTTACATTTCCAATAAAAGCCACTATACGCTACTTTTTAATTCATTAATTGGTTTTGCGTATAACAACTCGAACTCATGCGATTCATATTTTTTATTTTTGCCCACCTGTACGCGCCTACCGTCGAGCGAATGAATCCTAACGCTGCGAGGTCACACGGTTTCCACGAAGTGAAACCGGCGACCAAACTATGTCTCATCTTAGGTAAGAGGACTCATATTTTGTTCTGAATGTTACGAGCCTTTTCAAGAGGAGATGTTTTCCGCATTTGAGAGACACGTGACACAAATGAGCGGCTGTGGTTGGATCGTCTCAAGTTTGGACGGAGCTTTTTCACACTGGATTTGAACAGACGCAAGGCAAATAATCCTTTTCTATGAGTGTGTGGGAGGAGATGTGTATCAGAGGAGGTTTGTACCCGGTTGAGTCTCTGGATCTCTTTCTCCTGGTACTCTCTCTGTTTACTCAGAGGCAGCAGCTGGTCCTGGAGGTAGCGAATCTTCTGCTTCAGCTCCGTGGTCTCTGAGTTCAGACACTCCTTCTCCCCCTGGAAAACAATCAAGGTAAAGTCAATTAGAAAGGTATGAATCATTATATCCTAGATCAGAAAATAGCGTGATACGGGCCCTTTAATGTCTTCTTTTAAGATTTTGGGCGCTGTACCTGGACATTTTCGATCTTGGATTTGGCTAAGAGCAGTTTCTTGTCGTAGTCTCTTTGCCTCTGCTCTCGCTCCGCCTCCAGCTCCATCACCGTCTTCTGAGAATCGGCCAAACGCTGCCGCAAATCTGTGATCTGAGGCACAAACACAATATTTTATAGTCTTATATAATACCACGTTATGATAAATTTAGTATTAAACGGTCCTAAAACGGACTATTGAGAGGTGAGCTGTGGTCCTGGAGCTTCATTTTCAACAAAAAGGCCGAGAGTGAGTGACTTTTACCTTCTGTTCAAACTGCGTCTTCATGGCGTTCCACTGGATGTCCCACTGTTTATTCACCTCCAAAACCTGACGCAAAATAAAGAAATATATAACACCAATAAAAACATACAATATAATGCATACAAAAAAAATTTAATATAATAAATGTAACAGAATAACAAATGAATGAACTCACATCTTTCCTCTGTTTCTCCAGCAGTTTGATTTTCTTCTCGTAGGTCTCGATGTCACAATGTTTGGTCGGCGTCTTCTCTGCGGCTTTTCCGCTCTGAAAAGAAAGAAACGAAACAAAAAATAAGTAAATTTAAAGTGATGGTCCTGTCAAACACTTAAGCAAGAAGCCCGGTCTGAATGAGTCAAACTGCCAAAATTAGAGATGGTTTTGTCTTTTTTGCTTCTACCATGAAGGGACAGTAAGTTTTAAGAAGACAATGAAAGAAATAATTTTGTAGCTATAATAAAACCAATTCTCTGGACCTACTGTCTGAAATGGAGCTTGACTGATTGATTATTAGGAGTGGGATGAGACAGAATTGATATCAGACATGACACAGGGTCCACAAGATCGATACAAGACAATACTTTGAATCAATTTAGAATAACTGGATCAATTCGTAACCCTTTCATGCCTGTGCCAAATGTCAAGACAATAAAGAGGATAAAACCTCACGAGATTGTTCTTCGTCTGCTCGATTATGGAAAAAATTATCATCATTATCACGATTATTTTGGTCAATATTGAAATCACGATTATTCAAACGATTATTTTTTTAGTTACACGATGCATTTATTCAGCATTTCTCTCTTTTTACGCAAAACTTTCAAATTGAAAATAAATACAGGCTACAAATCTGTACTTTAGAGCAGTTTTGCGATGTATAAAACATAAAATGAATCAAATAAACTTTGAACATTAAATAAGGCAGAAAAAACATAAATGTGTCCAAAATAAACTATATACCCAGCTGTTCTACAATCTCTATATTTAAAAAAATTTAAATAAATATACTTATTTATAGAAAAAATATCCCAAAATAAACTGTTAGGCTTTAATCGTTTCAACTCAATTATGTGAGTTTGGAGATCGTTTGACACACAAATCGAAAACGTGATCAAAATTTATTTAATTGCACAGATTTAAGTGTCAAGGCTGGGATCAGATCTCACCAGATCTCGTCCCGTACCTACTGATTATACTTCAAATTCAATCAAGATTTATTGGACAGTCTTACTGCAGCCAAGGATAAAATAACACAATTTTATTTTAAATTTAGAATAGAATAGAAAGCCTTTATTGTCATTATACAGTATAATGAAAATCAGGAGGACTTAAAGGTAAAGCTTTAAGTCAGACATGTCAAACTCTGGTGCAGGGGCCAAATTTGGCCTGTGAGATTAAATCAAATCTGTATTAGAGCTGCCCACCGACTACAGACCGACTATAGAGACATTATTTATTTTAAATGTTGTTATTATTTTATATTCTGTTTGTTTTAGATTCAATGTTTAAGCCAAACCTTTATTAAAAATTTATTTGAATAAGAAAAAGTTTAACATTGCACATCTCGAAAAAGAAGAGAAAACATGCAGACGTTGTTGAAATTTTTCAATAAATATTTAGTTTGGTCCACAACTTAGTCCCAGTTTTTAATTTTGGCCCAATGTGAATTTGACTCTCCTGATTTAAGTCATATATATATATATATATATATATATATATATATATAAAATGTTTCCTCTACAAGACCTTGAGTTGTGTTTTGTTTCATTCACATGTTTGATGTTAACTCTTTATTATGAGCCTGTCTACATCTCCAAAGTTCAAAACACTCTGCTCCACCTTGTGATGTCATGAAGCGGTAGTTTTCAAGTGAACAGCTCCTTTTACATTTAGTTCAGCAGAGTTTGGCAATTCCAGAACTGAAATCATCCAAATGATTCTAGTGAAGGTGTGTGGACAACAAAACATTTGAGAACTTTCTATATTACCACGTGACATCACAAGGTGTAACGGAGTGTTTTCTGTTTGAGAGAACCCAGAACTGAGCCTAAATATATAGAATTTGTGAGTTAAACATGTGTAAAAGAAACAAAACACAACTCCGGGTCTGTTTGTGAAGAGAAAACATTACAACATAGATCAGAAAACAGCACGATAACACTTTAGCCTTTGTGTATTTACCTTCTGCGGCGTGCTGACCTCCATCTTGGCGCGTACGGCCGTGGTCTCCTCCTTCGCCGGCTCCTCTTTGGTTTGTCCTGGCTCCGCGGGGTCCGGCTGCGGCGTGGCTGCGGTTCCCCCCGTCACCAGCTCCTTTAACTTCTGGTTCTCCTGCCTGCAAAAACCCCGAAGACACACGCGCTCAAAAGATCTGTCCGGTCCCGCTCGGCCAATCAGCTCTCCCCCTGTCCCCCGTCCCTGCCCAATCAGCCGTCTCCTCTGGGAAGACCCTAGACTACCAGAGAGAGAGCGTGTGGGTGACTGACGCGATGAATCAAAAGTGGAAGTCTGGCTGTGAGCGAGTGGGCAAGAAGTGAATTCATTGTTCAACTGCGCGTCGTGTCACTTTCGTTTTCATTCACTCGTGAACTTTGATCTAACTCGCACAACTCACACTGACAGTGTTTTTTTTTAATTGTTGTTTTTTTTTTTTTTTTACTAGAATCAGGTTTCTAAGTCAAAGGCGCAGGAAGCAATTTTTGGTGAAACATCCGTCACCTGCTCGTGTCTGTGGTTTTTATGGCTCAGAAATACCTAGAAAATAAGGGGCGTTCAGAGGGCGAGCGGGGGTCGCCTCTCCGCAGACCTGACCTGTGACTTCCCACTCTTTTTCACTGACAAAATTTAAAAACTTTCCCATGACTTTTTCATGACTTTAAGGCACCTACATGTGTAGAATTAATCAGAGTTTTTAGGGTTAAATATGAAATGTTAAATCTTTCCACTCAAGGTTTATGGTTTGGGATTATAGTTTTTGTTTTGTAAACTGTGGTCCAAAGCAACAAAAATGCAAAAATGATATGATGAAGGCCGAAACTTTTTTTTTTTCATTTTTATTTTACTGTTCCTTGCATTTGTTCCTCTACAAGAACCTTTGTGTGTGTTTCCTGTTTTCATTTGTATTATATTTTTTTTAACATTCAAAATCCTGTCAGTGCATTTATTGTCGTCTCTTTTAAACAAAAAGGCGCAGACGTTCGGAAATACTCATGAGAACTGAACAGAACGCTGTAGTTGCGTGAAAGAGATACTAAAATTCCATGATATTTCCAAAACTGACCACAAAAAGCCTGGAAAATTTTCAATTTCTATGACTTTCTAGGATTTCTATAGCCAGGCTGGAGCCACCTAGTGCCTCCGCTCAGTCTCATTTCTCTTCAGAGACTAGATCAGGAATCAGAATACACTAGACGGTTCGGAGAAACTCCAGAAGTGCGAGATCAGGCACCAGCCAATCAGTGAAGAGTCATACATTCTGTGTTGTGAATGATTCCTGAGATCGAGGTTATAAAAGTAACGAATTACTGTAATGCGTTGCTTTTTTGCTCTAACACAGTAATGTGGCATTACAGGAAAAAAATGTAATGTTTCACTCAGTACAAATGTGAGTATCGTGCGTCACAGTGCTTTTTTAACCTGGATTGAAGTTTTGGGTTTTTGTTCATACAAATTCGCTAAAATCACAGCGATATCAACAGCAGAGAAACGCCGGAGACTCGCCCGTGTCGACCGTCAGGTGACCGCGAGCAAAAGGAACGACACAGAACTCCACACTCCACGGGGCGAAGAGCAGCTGACGCCTGATCGCACCACGCAGACACTTTGTCTGCAAGGCGCTTCCAAGTTCTAGTCCAAGATTAGTCCTGGTTTGGCCCTGGTTTAGACCTGATTTAGACCTGATTTAGTCCTGGCTGAACTCGTGGCTGAACTCTGGTTTAGTCCTGGTGTAGTCCTGGGTTCAGTTCCTGTTTTAGTCCTGGTTTAGTCCTGGTCTTTTAGTCCTGTTTTAGTCCTGGGTCAGTTCTGTTTTAGTCCTGGTTTAGCCCTGGTTCAGTCTGGGTTCAGTCCATATACGGCCAAAAGTAATGCAATAGTAATGTAATGTATTATTTCTATTTCGAAGGAGAATAAATTAATTCCGAAAAAAAAAAAAAAACTCTCCGGTTCTATGCGATTCACGTGAATGACCCAACTGACCAAGACAAAGGAGACAAATTTGCAGGTATGAAAGTAACTATCAGTGTTGATGTTTTGTCTGAAAAAGGGAAAAGGGGCAGATAACACAAGACGACTTTTCTTTCGGCTCCTTTTCTTTCATTTCTTGTATATTTGATGTTGTGACACTGTTTATGTCTTTTTATACTTTATGAATGAAATAAATAAAAAGAATTAAGCAAAAAAAAAAAAAAAAAAAAAAAAGCTTTCAAATAGAGGTAATTCAACATAATACAGCTTTTTTTTTTTTTTTTTTTAAGATTTTAAATGAGAAAAACCTGAAAACTTGTCAAAACCAACACTGAACCGTCAACTAAACCATCTGAGAAGTGGGCAGAGGAACAGACTGAAACTAAAAGAGTACTTCACCGTTTTTTGTTTTTTTTTATGTTTTTATAATGAGCACTTTTGTCTGGTCTGGAGGGTTAGTACCTGCGGTGAGTGTTTATGACAGTTTCACATCAGTTAAGCGCCGCGTTGTGAAAAGAAACGTTTAAAAAATTACAGGAAGTACCCGACAGGAGTTCTAAACAGGAATCACAGAAGACATTTTTAAGGGGAATTCTCTGTTGACGAGGAAGGAGGAAGAAGGAAGGAGGGAAAACAAAACAAAACAAAACAAAAACAGGAGGAATGTTGGCAGCTGATAGTTCCACAAACACGACCTTTGACACTTGTTTACGCTTTACTGGGTGTTGTAAATTCCCCGATATGTCTGTGTTAGTTCAGTCATTTCCGTTTCTTTTACTCCAGGGGGCCGTGTCCGAACGTCCAACCTGGTCCCGTACTCTTTAGCGCCCCCTACAGTGCACTCACTACACATTCCCGTCACGTGATTCTGGCGTCTGGGTGAAAAAAGATAAAGTCCAAACGCTGATAAAACTTGATTTCTGTCATAAATAAAAGACCAAATCAGACTCGAACACAAGTTTTTATGGACTAATAATAACCGTACGAGTTTTTGTCATGCTGGATTTCACGTAAACAAGCTGGATTATTTGCTTTTTGTCTGACATGTGGAAATTATTGCTCTTTTAACAGCTGAAGTTAAAGTGGTTAAAGCTAAAGTGTTTTATTCAGAATCAGGATCAGCGCTTTTCTCTGCTTCGTTCAGTCGGGTTGTGTCCAGTTAAACAAATGTCACTGAACGAAGCTGTTTTTCCGATTCTCCCAGTGCATCATGGTCTATATTGAATCTAATGACCACACTGCTTTTTCAGGGTACATTGTGGGAATTTTGAGTGCACGACTTTTTCACCAGCTGGACATTCGGGCACTCCTGAAAATGGCGTGACCCCTAAAATCAGTCCTAATTATGGAATAGTGTAGATATTCGGACACAGCCTGGGGCAGCTGAAGGAGTTTCGGGAGTTACAACACGGAGAAACGTCGGGAGTTACAACGCGGAGAAACGTCGGGAGTTACAACGCGGAGAAACGTCGGGAGTTCCAACGCGGAGAAACGTCGGGAGTTACAACGCGGAGAAACGTCGGGAGTTACAACGCGGAGAAACGTCGGGAGTTCCAACGCGGGAAACGTCGGGAGTTCCAACGCGGGAGAAACGTCGGGAGTTTCCAACGGGAAAACGTCGGAGTCCAACGCGGAGAAACGTCGGGAGTTCCAACGCGGAGAAACGTCGGGAGTTCCAACGCGGAGAAACGTCGGGAGTTCCAACGCGGAGAAACGTCGGGAGTTCCAACGCGGAGAAACGTCGGGAGTTCCAACGCGGAGAAACGTCGGGAGTTACAACGCGGAGAAACGTCGGGAGTTACACCAGGGAAACGTCGGGAGTTACAACGCGGAGAAACGTCGGGAGTTACAACGCGGAGAAACGTCGGGAGTTCCAACATGGAGAAACGTCGGGAGTTCCAACACGGAGAAACGTCGGGAGTTACACCGGGGAAACGTCGGGAGTCACACCGGGGAAACGTCGGGCGTCACACCGGGGAAACGTCGGGCGTCACACCGGGGAAACGTCGGGAGTTACCAAGGAAACGTCGGGAGATACCAAGGAAACGTCAAGAGTTATCACGAGATTTCTAATGGTACTATCAAGTCACCCGAAGTTTGCTCGCGTCACTTTCATCAAGGTATTTGCTATTTAAATTGTTTCATAGCTTATTTAATGAAAGAAGCACATTTACTGAACTAAAATTTCATTCATTTATCCAGGAAAACCCGCACCAGTCTATGATCCAACGAACCCAGATTGGGCTCCTACGATCAATATGGGGCACGAGTCGAAGAGTCTGTGAGCCGAACTGCGAAACAATCGGCCGTGAAAAGATACTTGAACGTTACAGAGATCTGCTCGTAAAAAGACTTAGTTGTGGATAAGCAAGGCAACAAAGAAAACATCGGTCCTACGGCGAGTGACATGTTTATATGCGAGTTGGAAGATACGGTTTCTACTGCTACTCAGACTCCTGTTTGTGTTTCTGTCGAAATCATCGTCACATTTGAACTCTCTCAGTTCTCAGTTCTCTCAGAGTTCACGATAAGGAACTTCTGCCACAGATGTCGGCATCAACCACTTACAAGGGACTGAAGTGCACGATTTAGTTCGTTTTATTCGTACTCCTGCTTCAACGGCGAACAGAATCGCTTCTACATGAGAACATGTTCCTCCTAAGCCTGCCATACAACTGCAGTGGGCTGTTATTATCGTCCCTTCATTAGTTGCTGCGATCCAAGGCTTCAGGTGTGTCTCATTCAATCGCTGAGAGTGGTTTACCTGCGCGAAAATAACATTAGCTATTTTTTTTCGTGTTCCGTTGCATTTGTAAACAAACGATTATCGCGTTGAAATTTTGGAAAACGCTTACCTTTCCGATTAAAACCTTGACATTACTGGTAGCTTTTCCTACATAAACATATCTGACCCACCCAGCAACAAAATACTGGTATAACTCTAGGCTTTTATAAGCCTTGATCTGTTCTTTGGTGTAGCTACTAGTCGCAAATATCAAGTAGTTTGATATATTCGGAAATTCTACTTCTGGCCATAATTCTGTCGAACCGGAGTAGAAACTGATGGTCACATTATAAGGATCGATATTAGAGATTCATTTTAGCTTTTCCAAGTAGTTTTTTCGTTCATCTGAGGCCAGCGAGTCGAGATATTTCGGGAGAGATGGAACACGCTCGCTCTGTTTAGCAGCCACGCTTGATCTCGCGTGTCCGGTGTCATGGCGGCGTAGTTACCGTTGCTATGGGGTCACGTGACGGTGCAAAGCCTCTATTGTAAAAGCTGAATAAAATCTGACCCAGTGTCCTCCTTCACTCTCTGACCTCAGGACTTTTTGGATGAAATGTCCCTGTCGTAACTTTCTCCCAAACTAAGTAGCAATTATGGAAAATCCTCTCGTCACATCACGGGGAAAAAACACAAACTTCACCAAAATTGTAAACGATTTTAGCAAGTTTAGCCTGGGTTAGAATGTAGGGATGGGACTAGATCTCGTGCCAAACTTGAGAAAAACAATCCTGTGAGATTTTTTCTCCCCATTTGAACTGGACAAAAAACGGTTAAGTGCTGGTGGGCCTTTAAAATGTCGTTATTATTTTATATTCTGCTTGGTCTGGATTCAATGTTTAAACAAAACTATTATTAAACATTTATTTTAATAAGAAAAGGTTTAATATTACAGATCTCGAAAGAAGAGAAAACATGCAGATGTTGAAATTTTTCTATAAAAATTTAGTTTGGCCCACGACTTAGTCCCTGTTTTTAATTTTGGCCTCTGTGAATTTGAGTTTACACCCCTGGTTTAATGCCACACTGTGAAACATTCCAGAAAAAGAAATAACATCTCCATGAATAAAAGAATTTGGCAGACAATCCACCAGAAAAGTTCAACAATGCACCTTTAAATAAAAATAAAAACTAATTTAAAAAATGTATATAAATTTAATTAAAATAAATATAAATTACATAAATAAAAATAATAATAACAATAAATATAAATTAAATTAAAATTAGTATAAATTAAATAAATAAAAATAATAATAATAATAAATATAAATTAAATAAAAATAAATAATATAAATTAAATAAATAAAAATAATAATAACAATACAATTAAATGAAATGACAATAAATCTAAATAAAACTGTGCTGGTGGGCTGCATCTTTGAGAAGCCGTAGTTCCAAAAAACAATGCAAGAATGACGACAAAAGTATTAAATGAAGTAAATATAAAGTCTGAAGTCAAGTTTGGGAACTAAATCGAACTATTTATATCTCTGAAATTACGTCAAAATCTCGTTTTGTCTCGTTCAATCGCGTGTCTCGTCCCGTCCCCATTAGAACGTGTATCGAGTGTCCAGATCCTAATTTTTTTTTTAAATTCAAACTAAACCAGGACCAAATCCCTGAAGCTTCTCGAGTATGATAGTTTCGCGCCCCCTGGTGGTGAGAGAAAGCGCTACACACCTGAGCTGCTCCAGGTCCCTGTTCCGGATGTGGTGGTCCTCTTCCATTTTCTTCCTCAGCTCGTTGTTCTCCTGCCTCAGCTGCTCGCACAGAGTCTGCGACACAAACGGGACAAACGGAACATTAGAGGAGCTCGGAGTAGAGACGCTGCTCCTCCTCCTACACGTGAAGAAGAGCAGGAGGAGCTGAGCGGAGATGAGGGGAAGGCAACTGTTCAGGATGTTCATGTCCCACAGGAAAAAGAGAGAAGAAGGAGACGACCTGAAGGAACTACGTCTCTCGCCTGGTCTGGGAATGTTCTGGGATTCCCCCGGAAGAGCTGGAGGAAGTGTCTGGGGAGAGGGAGGTCTGGAAGTCCCTACTCTGTGTGTGTGCGCTTTGTGAAGGTCTTCAGTTTATCCCACGCAGAGGGTCAAAAGGTCAGGAAAGGTTAACGCAGCAGTGAACGCAAAAGAAATACGGAAAACACCAGAACCAACTGTGGGAAACGGATTTCAGGGATTTTAAAGCCACTGGATGACGTCACAAATTTAAGCTCCAAGGAGTGGTTTCCGAAAATGTCTGACTCAATGGATTAAAGATATCATGATTTATTTTATTATATGTATACATCTATATAAATATGTGTTAATATATACATACTTGTGTGGATATGGTATATTGAATTTGTATCACAATTTTGGTGGATCCACAGACAAACAATATTTTTATTTACTTTATATTTATTTTCTCTCTCTTTCCCCATGTTGTGTAACCCTGTATATGTATAAAGAAAAAAAAAAAAACATCATGATTTTATCTCAGTCCTGATAAAGAATGGATTTAGTCATTTCGACTTTACTTTTCTGGAGCGTCTGGATTTTGTTTTGTCTAAAGTTTTGATCCTTTTTTTTTCCAAGAGCGCCCTCTACCTGTGCTCACTGATAAAAACACCTGAAACAAACACACACATTTTTTTCTGTACACATGAACCATATTCCTTTATATTTAAAAAAAATATATATATATATTTAAAGGTGCACTATGTAACTTTTCAGTTGTTTCTGTGGATATGTCCTTTCTTTGCCTGGAATGTTCCACAGTGTGACATTAAACATCTCTACCTTGCCTTTACTTAATCACAGGTGGTTTTATAGCTCAAAAATACCTACAAAAACTGACATTCTGACTGAGCGAGGTCGCCTCTCCACAAATCTGACCTGTAACTTGGTCTGGTTTGGTCTCCGTGGGGATAGAAAGGTTTAACGCAGACATGTTAAACTCAGGCCGTGGGGCCAATTTTGGCCCGTGAGATCATATCAAATCTGTATTAGAGCTGCCCACCAACTACAGATAAACTATAGAGACATTATTTATTTAATTATGAATTATATTTATTAATTAATTATTATTTATGTATTTATTTTATTGTTATTATTTTATATTCTGCTTGTTCTGGATTCAGTGTTTAAACAAAACTATTATTAAACATTTATTTTAATAAGAAAAGGTTTAACATTAAATATCTCAAAAGAAGAGAAAACATGCAGATGTTGTTGAAATTTTTCAATAAATATTTAGTTTGGCCCATGACAGTTTTTAATTTTGGCCTCTGTGTATTTGAGTTTGACAACCCTGGTTTAATGCCACACTGTGAAACATTCCAGACAAAGAAATAACATCTCCATGAAGAAAAGAACTCTGGCAGAAAATCCACCAGAAAAGTTACACAATGCACCCTTAAATAAAAATAAAAACTAATTTAAAAAAAATAAAAAATAAATAAATACACACTAAATTAAAATAAACATAAATTTAATAAATAAAAATAATAATAAAAAAATAAAATTAAATGAAATTACAATCAATAAAAATAAAACAAAATCAAATAAAAATTAAATGTTAACACTAAATTTAACTGCTGATGGATCTAAAGCTCTTCTCCAGAGTTTGCCGGTCGGTCCCGTACCTGCAGCAGTGAGGTCCTCTGCTCGTTCTTCTGGACCTTGGAGGACAGGTGGTGGAACTCCACGGCCATGCGTCCCAGGTGGGCCAGCAGCTGGTTGGGGTTGGACTCCTCGGCGAAGATGCTGAAGGAGCTCTCCAGGCGTTTGAGCTGAGAGGCCAGCTCGATGTTCTCCTGAGGGAGGAGGGGGATCACTGACCCGGCCTGAGACAGAAAACGAGAGGAGACGGTGAGAAAAGAGGCGACGTGGACATCAGCACGTTCAGTCTGCTTCAGTGTGAGCAAATATAACGCCATAAATTAGTGTTTTTAGCTCTGATACAATAGAAAAACAATTAAAAGACATTAAAAGGTGCATTGTGTAACTTTAATTTTGCTATGGATCCCACCTGAACGACAGAGATTACACAGACAAAATGCATTATGGACTATATTTTTTATTAATTTTGAAGCAGTTTTCACTTTTGAGTTGGAATAAAAGTATTAAAAACTCACTTTACAAAATATAACTTTAGTTTTTAGGTTATGGTCCATTTCTAAAACTTCAGAAATCTTTGTCAGAACGTTACAGAGCATTTTGAGCTTTAGAAGACGTAGACAGACTAATAATAAAGTGTTACTCAAATGAAACAAAACTCCAGAAAACACTGTTCTACTTTGTGATGTCATGTGGTGACACCTGAAGATTCACTAGAATCGCAATTTCAATCTCTCCTGAATTCAAGGTAAAAGGAGATGTTTACTACGGGATTACGCAAACACGTGAATGAAACAAAACAACTCCAGGTCTGTTTTTGTCTTGTGCAAGAGCCTTTAAATGAATGAAATATAAATGAATCAGAAACTTGTCATTTTCTCAAGATTGAGGGTGAAATGACAAAAAGAGCCAAACCCAATGCTAAAGGAAGAACAATTTTAAAGCAGGCAGATTTCTTATTTAATACCCTTAATACCCTCCTGAGACCTGGTCCATTCATTTGTGTCCTTTATAAGCGGACATTGAGTTAACAAGTTTATCTTTTAAGTGTTTTGAGATGATATTTTGACTCTTAATGGGAGGACTAAGTTCCTCTGACTAAATAGGGCTGGGGTACTATAGGTACTATTCAAGTCCAGGATTAAAAAAAATAATAATAATAACTCAATCGGAGTTTGTGGTTACACTATGAAAAAAAAAAAAAAAAAAGACATCATCATCAAAAAAGTTGTTTGGTTGTTAACATCACAGTAATTTAATACCAAAATGTCCCTGGTGTCGATTACAGAGGACATGTTAAATAAATAAAAATAAAATTAACAAAATCAAAATTCTAAGGTGTTCATTTCCCTCCAAATAGATAATAGATAAAAATAAATAAATAAATAAAAATCACAAAAAATATATATATTGCAATACACTTTTTGTTCTTCGGGTCCCAGGAGGATATAATAATAATTGGTAATTTAATCATAAATAATAAGATAAGAATAAATTTTTTTATGAACACTTACGTTGATATTAATTTTATGTGGGGGAGGAAAAAAAAACTAAAAAACAATGCATATACACTATGAGTTATGTTTCTGTTGATATAATCGCATGGAAGTCAATATGGATCTTATTATGTTCCATTGTAAAATAAAGTCATTTTTTTAACCAAAATAATTTTAAAAATGCATAAATAAATCTTTAAAGTTGCACTATGTAACTTTTTGGTTGGGGATATGTCTTTGCTCTGCCTGCAATGTTCTGCAGTGACATTAAACAGCTCTACCTTATTATTTTTTTAATCAAATCAGGTTTTATAGCTCAAAAATACCTATAAAAACTAAAATTCTGACTGTGAGCGGGTTTGCCTCTCCACAGATCTGACTCGTAACTTGGTCTGGTTTGGTTTTCATGAAGATAAAAAGGTTTAATCTCATATTTGACAAACCCACCACCAGAAAATCCACACAACGCGCCTTTAAATAGCGAAATAAATGAATAAACAAACACATTTTCTCCGACCTTACAGCCCGTCTCCTTAAATCCTCGCTGTGTATTTTCGTCCATTCACATCAGAAACTCTCGCGCAACTGAATCGAGTCTGAATCGAGCTCTCAGGTATTTCCCTAACCTACATTTAAGGCTCGCTGTGACGCCGTGTTATCTAAAAATGCGTCTGAAATAAAGTCGTCAGCTGATCGCGGAACCGGCCCGTCCTGTTTTTTCAGAGCATAAATATCCTGACGGGAGCGGAATGTTAAGATCGAGAGTTAACGTACGCACACGCACCGCCTCGCTTTTCCATCCGAACTCAAAGAACCACTTAAGAACAAACGTCACTAGAAGGTTTGGCTATAATTAGTCGACAACAATAATGATAATAGCAACAATAGTAATATTAATAGTAACAAAAACAATTTACCAACAGAGAGCAGCTTTTGAAAACACCGACAGGAAACAAAATAAAATATATCGTACATTTTAAAAGATGGTAGTGCTGCATAAATGTTTTTTTGTTTTTTTTTGTTTTTTAAAGTATATTTAAGTATAATTATTGTGTATTAATGCAAGGAGGAAAAAAGCAGTACAAATAGTTTTAAGGTTTAATATTGTATACATGAATTTTCAAAGAAAATCTTAGAGTAAAAGATAGATTTTTTGTCAAATTGTAAAAAAAAATGTAAAATCTTAAAGAGTCTGTACTATAGACTTTGTATAGTCAAATTAAAATGTAAAAAATATATATATATATACACTGTAGCAATTTTTACTATTACAAGTTTTAAAGGTTCTATATTACACAAAATTGATTGATTGATTGATTGATTGCATTTATATAGCGCCTTTCAAGACACCCAAAGCGGTTTACAGTTCATTATTCAGTCACTCCACACTCAGTGGTGGTAAGATACTACTGTAGCCACAGCTGCCCTGGGGCAGACCGACAGAAGCGAGGCTGCCAATCTGCACCATCAGCCCCTCTGACCACCACCATCACTCATGCACACTCCACTTTCATACTAGGCAATGTGGGTGAAGTGTCTTGCCTAAGGACACAACAACAGGTTTGTTTTTTTTTGCCACTGGTGTCCCCACTGTGGCTCCTGGAATTCCCAGTGTCTCCCATCCAAGTAGTACCCAGGCCCAGGCTGCTGAGCTTCTGAGATCTGACAGGATCAGACTTTGACAAGCCAGTATGGCCACAAAACTGACTCTTGTGAGCTTTAAGTCGTGTTATAATGTTGTTTCATTCACACACATTTGACTAATCCTTTATTATTAGTATGTTTACATTTCCAAAGCTCAAAATGCTCTGTTCCACCTTGTGATGTCATGAAGTGGTAGTTTTCCAGTGAACAGCTCCTTTTCACCTTTAGTTAATAGAGATCAGTGACTCCAGGGTTGAAATTGTGATACTACTACTATGTAAAGGTGTATTTTTTATTTTATTTTTTTATGATTACTATAATAATAATAATTAATTATTATTATTATATACAAGGCATTACACAAAAGATAAATATTATACAAAGAATAACAATCAAAATGTACAGGACATGGGGAGTTAGTCTGATTCATCGGCCAGTTTCACTTTGTGGAAACTGTCTGACCTTGCAGCATTAGGATTCCTTCACTCGACGGTAGGCGGGCACTTTTTTTATTTAACCAATCGCTGCTGTTTGGTCGTGACGTATGTAATGCGCCAGAACGCTCAGTGGTGTTCAAGTAATTGCCGGCTTCACAGCTCTTCGCTGATTGGCCGGTGCACGGTCTACAACTTCCAGGGTTCTTACAATGGGGAGTAGCCAAAGGTCACAAATAACCAAAATTCACTAACAAATAAAAATGTATAAATTAAAATGCTTAGAATTTCTAGGGTTTTAACAGCTTTGAAATTGGAGGACAAGTGGATGGTTTTCTTATAATACTGGATTTTAGAAAAGGAAATGGGAAAGTAGGGTTTACGATGAATTAATTTGTTTTTATGGTTATGAAATTGTGCTAAGATAATTAAGATCTAGCAGGGATGTAAAAATAATCGAAATATTGTGATATCGTATCGTCAAAAGTCTCACGATAATATCATGGACCATCACAATATATCAAATCACAAGTGTCTGTTTAAATTAATAGTTCTGGTGCAGCCACAGCTAAAAAACAGTGAGAACTACATAGACCATGATCCTTTGTTCTGTTTCAGCTCAATCCACATGCTGAAATTTATGAAACTTATGAAACACTTTAAAATCGTAATTTGGGGGATTTTTGGATCACGAGAGAAAAGTAGCGTAGTCAAAATTTTGTACATATTTTTTTTTTTGCCAAAATATCGCAATAAATATCGTACTGTGAGATGGATATCGTGACAATATCATATCGAGAGGTTTGGATATCGTTACATCCCTAAGATCCAGTAAATCTAGTCAAAGTGTGTGGAGCGGTTTCTGTATTATCACATGACATCACGAGGTGGAACAGCGTGTTTTTCTATTTGAGAGAAGAACCTAAATCTGCAGGTTTGTGTGTTAAACTTGTGCGAATGAAACAAAAAAAAAACAACACAACTCCAGGTCTGTTTGTGACGAGATGTTTTCACGTGATTTTACTTTTACTCGAGCGTTTTTTTTTTCTCCCCCTTGAGCAGAACATTCCCCTGTTGATACGAGCTCCGTGATTCAGGTCTGGATAATCCTGGACTTTCCCCGCAATGAGTCAACTCGGGCCCCGCAGCCATCTTTGTTTAGTCACAAAACACTGGGATGAGAGTTTCAGCGCTGCGGGGCGGGACGCAGACTACGGGACCTGGAAGTTCCCGAGTGGATTCACAATAAACACCAAGAAATCCTCCATTAAGACCCGGGATCGTTCTGACGTACAGGCCCCGAGTTCTGAAGAAGAGCAATGAGTAAACTAAAGAAACCATGTATCATTCGTTCATTCGTTTTTCAATATTAAACCAAAAATAAGAAAATGAAAAAATAACAGTTTTCTTCATTATTTGTCTCCAAAACCAAAATTAACAAACGGATAATGATTTAATTTTCCATTTTTCGATTTTGCGTTGAAATGAAAAATGGAAAAAACGGATAACGTTTCCCGTTTACGTGACTTCCGTGACTGCGATGTCGGACTTTTGCGCTGCATACGGACTGAACCTGGACTGATCCAGGTCCTGGACCAGAGCAGGACTGAAACCGGGACCAGAGCGGGACCAGAGCGGGACTGAAACTGGGACCAGACCGAGACTGAGACCAGACCAGGACAAGAGCGGGACTGAGACCGAGATGAGACCGAGATGAGACCGAGATGAGACCGAGATGAGACCGAGATGAGACCGAGATGAGACCGAGACCAGACCGAGACCAGACCGAGACCAGACCGAGACGGAGATCAGAACTGAGATTGGGACCAGACTGAGACTGAGACCAGACCGGGACCAGCCCGGGACCAGACCGGGACTAAGACCAGGACTGACACCGAGACCAGACCGGGACCAGACCGGAGGCTCAGAGCCCACGGCAGGACCGGACCCCGAAGCTGAGGCTCGAACCCCGCGGAGGCTCGGAGTCAAAGCTCAGAGTTCGCCCTGGTCCCGGTCTGGTCCCGGTCCCGGACCTGGATCAGTCCTGGTTCGGTTCGTATGCGTTTAATTGTTCAGTTGTGCAGAAGTAACGGTGCGATCGACTGACATGATACAGACAGGACAGAGGCTCTTTTTGCAGGAGACATGCGCAGTAAAGTGAAGTGACAGTGGTGCAGGAGGAACAGGAGCAGCAGATCCTCACACACAAGACTAGAGCCTCTCCACACTTCACTCAAACGTTTTAATATAGAAGTCGCACCCGAGTATAAGTCACAGGAAACACCCAAACCATGAAAAAAGTGCCACTTATAGTCCAAAAAACACGGTAGTTATTTAAAGAACTGTTCATATGTGACGTTAACAGTCTGCTGTTTTCTGTTCTATTGTTTTTACTAGAATTTCACTTTCAACAGGAAATGTCGGTTCCTGGTTTCAGATTTTATAAGATAAATTTTCCTCAAAAAATGCGTCTTATATATGTTTTTTTTTCTTCTTCATTACACATTTTTTGGGCTGGTGCGACTTATACTCCGGAAAATACGGTACTCCATTTTCTGATGTTACTATCACAAACAGACCTGGAGTTTTGTTTTGTTTCATTCACATGTTTAACACACAAACACACCTGCAGATTTAGGCCGAGCTCTTCTCTCAAACTGAAAACACTGTGTTCCAACTTGTGATGTCATCTTGTGATACAGAAAGTGCTCCACTGTGTTTTTAAAGTCCACACACCTTCACTAGAAACACTGGGATCAGCCCTGGAATTGCCAATTTCTCCTGAACTAAAGGTAAAATGAGCTGTTCACTTGAAGACGACCACTTCATGACATCACAAGGTGGAACAGAGCGTTATAAATAGCAACAAAAATCATAAAAACTCAGTGAAACACGTACAGTTAAGGCGTCGGCCGGTTTGCCCTCCATGTTGACCACCTCAAACTCTGATAAGGCCTCCTGCGACACAGACCGGGAAAGTTACACACTGCAGCTTTAAACTGGCGGCTAATGGGAGCACTATTATTAAAACAACAGGTCATATTTGAGAGTTTGGTACAGGTACAGGTAGGGGTGGGCGATATATCGATATCTTAAATATATCGAGATAGTTTTTAAACTCGATATGAATTCTGACATATCGTATACATCGATATAATGCTTATATTCAATTTTGATTTCGCCGCTTCGCTTGTTTACCTTCTCTCTCGTCGCCTCCGCCTCCCTGATTTTGTTCGCTCGTGTCTCCTTCACTCCTCACTACCACCGTGAACGCCGAAAGCTGGTGCCAGTGAAAAGCTTCAAGCACCACAAACCTTTTCCACCATTTACAGACAAAACCATCAGCAGCACATCCTCATGTTCCACCGAGTCGTGTCTTTAAAGACCGAAAGAAGCTAAACAAGCTGAGCTGCGTGAGAAGTGCTGTTTATGCAAATGAGCCATGCACTTAAGTTTTGTTTCTGTAAAATGTAAACACACGTGCGCAGAACTTTATTAAACACATTATTATCTCAAACGAGCTGATGTGGCTCGTAGTTGTTATGTTTTATATATTGTAAAGTTTATTTATGCAGAATATTTTAATTAATAATCTGTTGCAGTGTCTCTTGTACAATAGTGTTTGGAAACGTTGGGTTTGATCTGCAGTGGATTGTGGGATTAAACCTCAGAGCTCCTGACGCTGGTGAGGAACATGGATCTGTTAAAATAAGGAACATCCTGAGCTTCTTCTGCTAAAGGAGCTCATGGTTCTGGTTCTGGTTTGGATAACAGAGTTAATGCAAAGATGAGCTTGTGTTCAGTTGTTTTATTTATGAATGAAAAGAAGAAAATATGTTTTATTTATTTTATTTTACAGTTAAATTATTATTTATGTAATTAGGGTTTTTTGTAATCTTAAATGTTCCTGTATGAACTGCCGACCTCTTACACTTCAATTTTAAAAAAAAAGGACCTTGTGGAATTTGGCAGATTTGTTTTTGCAGTTTTCAGTTTTAGGGGGTTATTTTTTCTTGAACATATATCGAGATATATATCGTATATCGAGATACAGCAAAATATATCGAGATATATTTTTTGAATCATATCGCCCAGCCCTAGGTACAGGTATAAAAAGTATAAAGTGTCGCAAACAGTATAATATGGAATAAGATGGGAGAGTATGTGGTGACTCACTATGGGCTTCTCGGGCTGCAGAGTTTTCCCTAAACAGATGGTCTGGTCGTCCTTCTGCTCCGAGGCGGGGTGGAGACAAACTTTACCTGAAAATAAAAAAATATATTAAAAAAATAAGACTATAAAGAAATGGACTGAGGGAAAGTGACATAGACACCAGTCAAATGAAACTCGCGAGGACAGCAGTTACAGGAGTGAATTTGAAGCAGAGTTCAATATTAGGAATAGGGATTTATTTGGACAATTTGGACATTTGGACCAAAACATGAAATAAAAATCCAGGATCATGTAGAGGGGGTTAACAGGAAGACCAAAACGACAAGGCTTACAGCAGCAGTTAAAGCGAGGGACGACCGTTTTTCAATGTGAAGTCAATTGGAGTCGATTCAGCCAGAACTCATGGTCACGTCGTAATTGGAACATATACACTATACAGTACATACACTGGACTCACAGTTTGTAGTAAAAGAAGATTGTGGATGAGTCTGTACTAAATTTTAATTTGAGAAAAATGACCTACATTTGCCTTATCTATCAGCAGAAATCATCGGCCATCAGTCCATCTGGATTCTAAACAATAGATATTGGTCATGTCAGTCTCTAATATGTACAGTCTGTAGTCTTGCCCAAGCCCAGTCCCTCAGTGTGTGTCTGTGTCTAACCCAGTCCCTCAGTGTGTCTTACCCAGTCCCAGTCCCTCAGTGTGTCTTACCCAGTCCCTCAGTGTGTCTTACCCAGACTTACCCAGTCCCTCAGTGTGTCTTACCCAGACCCTCAGTGTGTCTTACCCAGTCAGTCCCTCAGTGTGTCTTACCCAGTCCCTCAGTGTGTCTTACCCAGTCCCTCAGTGTGTGTCTGTGTCTTACCCAGTCCCAGTCCCTCAGTGTGTCTTACCCAGTCCCTCAGTGTGTCTTACCCCCCAGTCCCTCAGTGTGTCTTACCCAGTCCCTCAGTGTGTCTTACCCAGTCCCAGTCCCTCAGTGTGTGTCTTACCCAGTCCCTCAGTGTGTCTTACCCAGTCCCTCAGTGTGTGTATGTGTCTTACCCAGTCCCTCAGTGTGTCAGTGTGTCTTACCCAGTCCCTCAGTGTGTGTCTTGTCCCTCAGTGTGTCTTACCCTTCCCAGTGTCCCAGTCCCTCAGTGTGTCTTACCCAGTCCCTGTGTGTATGTGTCTTACCCAGTCCCTCAGTGTGTGTATGTGTCTTACCCAGTCCCTCAGTGTGCATGGGCCCTCCTCCTGTGCACAGACTGGCTGCGATGCTGCTGGACTTCAGGGCCTCGTTGTCCCTCACCAGCTCCTCCACCCTCTGCCTGAGCCTGGAGGCCTCGGACTGGGACTCCTCCAGCAGGTCCCCTGAAAACACACAGGATTATGAATATTTAAGTTACAATACATAAAATGACAAAGGATTTTAAAAAAGTACTGGACATACGAGGGTGTAATGCCTTTGTAATAAAAAAAAAATATTATGTAACTCTTTTAATTTAAGACATTTTAACACGTCCTGTGGTGAGACTTTTCCTGACACCCCACTGGACATTCACTACTGCCATGTTAAAAAATGCCAGTTGCAGAGTATTTTTTTTTAACAATTAGAATAGTATTTTTTCAGGAAATACAGCTGTCACACTGAAAGGCATCACACAGACACATGTTCAACATTTTTCAGAAAATGATCACCATTACGTCACAAAACCACAAGACGTTTGGAAACATGCAGATGACGACTTCCTCTGGGTTCTGTCAGCATTAGTAACTCTGACAAAATCTGGGAAAAGATCTGAAAAAATGGCCCGGTTTTCTTCATCTAGACGTCACTGTAGTCTCTCTTTTTTCCTTTTATAAATTGCCTATTTATTTGTGCCTTATAATCGGTCTAACTTAAAAAAAAAAAAAAAAAAAAAAGAAGTCACTGAAGCGTTCCGTTATGTTTGGCAACAGTTCCAAGCAGCTGCCTGAGAGTGAAATCCAAAAGATACGATTAATTAGAGTCCCGTCCCCCGTGGAAAGCTTTGGCAGCAGGGGTGTAACGATATCCAACGTACTCACGAAAGCTACATGTAACAAAATCCAAATCTCTCGGTATGATATTTTCATGATGTACATCTCACGATACGATGTTTATTGAGATATTTTGTGGAGGCTAATATAATTGTAGATGGGACAAATTTACTTTTCAAATACCTTGACAAGATTTTGGTGTGAATTATTTCCATCATTATCTGAAGAATTCAAGTAAAAAACATTTCTTCATGTTGTCTGCACTGAAATGCATCATGGGATATGTAGTTTCTACCGTAAACCCAAGCATATAAGCAAAGGAACTTGTGATTCGATATATTGTGACAGTCCACGATATTATTGTGAGACTTTTGACGATACGATACCACGATATTTCGGTTATGTTTTGTTATGTTACATCCCTATTTGGCAGGTTGTGAAGACGCTACTGCTGAATCCATGGTTTTATAACCGAAACTACACCGGAGTTCGTTACCTACATGTTTCCAAACGTCTTCCGATAAACGCGAATGGAGCGTATTCAATTTGTTCTGTATCTTAAACCCTGAACCTCAGAGCTCTACGATACTCCCAAATTAATAGTAACTGCACCAGAATACAGCTGGTCAAATGCATTCTGAATACATGTTTTCAGTTCATGTTTTAGATACTTCCACCACGATGGAGATGGGCCCGGTCAAGCAGAAGTAAACGAAACAAGGCCAAAAATTCAAGTTAATGCATCTGATATAAAAATGTATTGAACAGATACATATGTACTCTAGTTTATGAAACTGTTGACCTTTTTTCTGTACCATTTTTGGTTCTAAAGTTCCATACGTTTTAAACAGACCATGTATGAAACATGGAACAAAAATTATTTCCCAAATTTCAAAGACCTGCAAATCATGTAAATAAATGGATGTATTTCATCATATCTTGTGTTATTCCATCTTTGAACTGTTGATGAAGGGACATGATTTTTCAAACAAATGTATTTAAAATGATAAAAATTTGCTTGGAAGGACTGACATATTTTATAGAAATAGTTTCCTTTCATTTTGAAGTAATATTAAAGTATTCGGAAGAAAAAAGCGACAAATGATGTAAAATCCTGCACCTTCTACTTGTTTGTACAATTTTCCCTCCGTTACCATGAACTTTCTTAATAAAAAATCTCATGAGTCAAAAAGTAAGAGGTTTTTCAACCTAATCTTGTACCATATGGTAGAAAACTATATGAAGCAAATATTCAAACCAGTTTGTTAAGGATATGTAAGTGAGAACCAAGAGTTATCACTGTTTGGATTTATTGCCCAAAAAGTGCTGCATATTTCATTCCCTCCGTTACCGACATGAGTTTTTAAAATTTTTTGTGAACAACTTGAAAGAATATCACAGGTTTAACTTGACCCTGTTGGAGTGTAACTCTTTCCTACATTCTGATACTTTACTTATTTCAATAGTCCCTCTAGTTTCTGAATAAGAGACATTTGAATGTCAAAAATCTGCCCCCGTTTCCCTCCGTTACCACTTGACCGAACCCAGATGTAACGATATCCAAATCTCTTTATACGATATTTTCATGATATATACGTTTATTGTAATATTTTGTGGAGGCTAAAAAAAATATTGTGAATATGCAACATTTTCATTAAAAATTTCTTGGCAAGTCATAGGTTCAGTCAGAATCCAAAGAACTGAAATTTTAAAGAGCTTAATAACAGCTATTTCTGCAAGTCCTCTGCACTGAAACAGCAAAGGATCATGGTCTATGTAGTTCCCTCACCAAAACAATGAATTTAAGCGAAGAAACTTGTAATTGGATATACTGTGAGACTATTGACAATGTGACAGTCCCGATATTTCCGTTATTGTTACGTCGTAGTGCTCCCTCACCCAGACTCTTGAGGCCCTTCATCCTCTCCCGCAGCATGCTGTTCTCCTCCAGCAGCTGCCTGTAGCTCTGCTCTTTGGGCTCGCTCCCGCCCGGGTCATAGATGCGATATGGACCCTTGCCCTCCATGGCCACGGCTCACTGGCAAAACATCGCCCGCTCCACACGACTGCAAGAGAAAAAGAAAACACGGAGGATTGAAAGCTGTGAAATACTGTTATTAAAAGGTCATATATTACACAAAATGGACACTTCTGAGATTTGAGTCGAGTTATAATGTTGTTTTCTCCTCAAAAACAGACCTGGACTTGTGTTTTGTTTCATTCACATGTTTGAGTGACACTTTATTATTCGTCTGTTCACATCTGCAAAGCTCAAAATGCTCAGTTCCACCTTGTGATGTCATGAACAAGGATGCACCGATGCAGCTTTTTCAGTTCTGATACCGATTCTGATATTATAGATATTATAGAACTGAGACCGGGACCAGACCGGGACTGAGACCGGGACTGAGACCGGGACTGAGACCGGGACTGAGACGGGACTGGGACTGAGACCGGGACTGAGACCGGGACTGAGACCGGGACTGAGACCGGGACTGAGACCGGACTGAGGCTGGGACCAGAGCGGGACTGAGACTGAGACTGGGACGGGACTGAGACCGGGACTGAGACCGGGACTGAGACCGGGACTGAGACCGGGACTGAGACCGGGACCGGGACTGAGACCGGGACTGAGACGGGACTGAGGCTGGGACCAGAGCGGGACTGAGACTGGGACCGGGACTGGGACCGGACTGGGACCGGGACTGAGACGGGACTGAGACCGGGACTGAGACCAGAGCGGGACTGAGACTGGGACGGGACTGACCGGGACTGAGACCGGGACTGAGACCGGGACTGAGACCGGGACTGAGGCTGGGACCAGAGCGGGACTGAGACTGGGACCGGGACTGAGACCGGGACCAAAGCGGAACTGAGACCGGGACCAGACCAGGACCAGACCAAGACTGAGACCAAGACTGGGACCGGGACCAGACTAGGACTGAGGCTGGGACCAGACCAGGACCAGACTAAGACTGAGACCAGGACCAGAACGGAACTGAGACTGGGACTGAGACCGGACCAGACCAGGACCAGACCAAGACTGAGATCAGGACCAGAGCGGAACTGAGACCGGGACTGAGACCGGGACCAGACCAGAACCAGACCAAGACTGAGACCAGGACCAGAGCAGAACTGAGACGGGACTGAGACCGGACCAGACCAGGACCAGACCAAGACTGAGACCAGGACCAGAGCAGAACTGAGAGACCAAGACTGGGACCGAGACTGGGACCAGACTGGGACTGAGGCTGGGACCAGACCAGGACCAGACTAAGACTGAGACCAGGACCAAGACTGGGACTGAGCCTTGGACCAGAGTGGGACTGAGCCTTGGACTGGACCGGGATCAGAGCGGAACTGAGACCGGGACTGACTGGACAAGACTGAGACCAGGACTGAAAAAAGTCCTGGTTGTCAAGTCCTGGGTTTCATCTGGGTTTTTTTTTGGAGACAAATAATGAAGAAAATAGTCGTTTTTGTTTCATTTTCTTATTTCTGGTTTTATATTGAAAAACGAATGAACGAACGATACACAGATTATTGCTGATAATTATCGTGAGAAATCTTTAACATGATCTCATCAATGATTATCATGAACTAGAACTAAAAACAAACTGACCACATTTGTTATTTCAGAAGTTCGACTCAGTGCCCATGAAGAAGCTCTCAGTTTCAAAAAGGTTAGTGACTCCTGACATAAAACGACAAACGAGAACGAGACGAGACGAGATTTTAACACAATTCCTAATAAATTTCACAATTCATCTTCCAATTTTGGTCTCAGTTTTTTATTTAGTTGATTTTAGATTTGTTTTTGTTTCCATTCTCGTGCTGCTTTTCAGAACCGTAAAATATGACTCACAAACGCGTAACCCTTTTTTTGTCCAATCCAAATCTCGACATCTCCCATCCCTGACACTTCCAGCTCAAACCCAACCAGATTTGAATGAGAGATGAGCTCGTAAACGATGAGAACATCACACATTTGCATAAACAAAGTAAACAGGATGCGGGGGAAGGCCCAGGCGCCGGTAAACAGGCGGTTTGAACGAGACTGCAGCCGTTAAGCGCAAGAATCGTTATCGGCTGTTAAAAGAATCGTATCGCGCAGGTAAACTGAGAACGAGCAACTGAGAATATACGACTTTTATTATATGAACCGACATATCGTCCTCGAATAGGAAACAAGCCGGGAATAAACACAAAAACACAAGGCCCGAAAAGGGAATAATTCAGAAAAAAAATTTACAACGGCGGCAACAGAACATGTTCAGATACAGAGCGAGAGAATCTGTGTGTCACTCGTTCATGTTTTTCAAAATTAAAACTCAAAAGTCAAAAGTCAAAAAAAAAAAAAAAAAAAAGTCTTTATTTATTTCATCTTGCAATCAGTCCTGGTTCAATCCTGGTTTAGTCCTGGTTCAGTCCTGGTTCAATCCTGGTTCAATCCTGGTCCAATCCTGGTTTAGTCCTGGTTCAGTCCTGGTTCAAGTCCTGGTTTCCTGGTTTAGTCCTGGTTCAGTCCTGGTTCAATCCTGGTCCAATCCTGGTCTAGGATCAGTCCTGGAATTCAAGTCCTCCGGTTTAGTCCTGGTTCAGTCCTGGTTCAGTCCTGGTTCAGGTTCAGTCCTGGTTCAGTCCTCAGTCTCCTGGGTTCCAGTCCTCAGTCCTGGTTCCAGTCCTCCTGGTTCAGTCCTCAGTCCTGGTTCCTGGTTCAGTCCTGGTTCAGTCCTCAGTCCTGGTTTCAGTCCTGGTTTAATCCTGGTTCAGTCCTGGTTCAGTCCTCCTGGTTCAGTCCTGGTTCAGTCCTCCTGGTTCAGTCCTGGTTCAGTCCTCCTGATTTAGTCCTGGTTTAATCCTGGTTTAGTCGTGTTGGTTCAGTCCTGGTTCAGTCCGGATTAAGTCCCGGTTCAGTTCAGTCCCGGTTCAGTCCCGGTTCAGTCCCGGTTCAGTCCGGATTAAGTCCCAGTTCAGTCCCAGTTCAGTCCCAGTTCAGTCCCAGTTCAGTCATTATTGATCCATGGACAAATTGGATGAAACGGGAAAGGGCCATTATCCATTTTTTGTCGACCTTTTCTCCGTGGAGCTGTTTTCGCTTCACCTTGAATGTTCCACAGTGAAGCATTAAACTCGTCTACCTCAGTGATAAAATAAGCAGGAACGAAACCGGGTCAGATCTACGGAGCGGCGTCTCAGCGTAAAACTGAGAATACCCGTTTTTCATGCCCGTAAAAGGACTAAAAACACACATAAATGCATTTACAGCATTAACATTTGTCCCATTTGTCAAACTGCAATTTCTGGTCAAGCTCGTTAGAAACACAATTAACCTACAAAAACACAAAACGCTGCACATGTGAGCGTGACAAAACGTAATTAAAAAAACAATAAACGAATGTAAAGAAGAATTAGGCAGGACTAAGGAAACTTTCGTTTTCAATTTAAACTATACCAAATTATTATGTTTACTTTGCGTTTGAGTCACATTTATTTACAAAAATCCAACTCCAATTAAGAGTTGTGACTCAAATTCAAGTTGAAGTATATTTTTTAAGTCTTAATAAGTCACTAAAAGTTACAGAATGAAAAGAGAGCAACTAAAAACTATTTTAGTCGACAGAAAATCTTATTACTCAAGTAGAAATCGAAAGAATGAAGTGAGACAATTTTTTTTTAACATTGAAACTGTGCCAAATGATTGTTTACTTTGGGTTTGATTCACAAAAATCCAAGAGTTGTGACTCAAATTCAAGTTCAAGTACATTTTTTTAAGTCTTAATTAGTCACTAACAAAGCTACAGAGTGAATAGAAAGTAAAAAACTACTTAAGTCAACAGAAAATATCATTACTCAAGTAGAAATCGAAAGAATGAAGTGATACGATTATTTTTAGACTTAAAACTAGAGCCCGACCGATATATATCGGCTGGCCGATATTATCGGCCAATATGGGCACCTGGAGACATATCGGCTATCGGCCGATATGCTTGCTGATATGGGCCGATATTTCACGTGTGCATGTTATACCTCGTTATAAAGCTTAGACTCTCTACATTATGTTCATTTAATCCAATTTACAGACAGATAAATGTCCTAATATGTGGCTCCGCATCAGTATTTATCTGCGGTGTAATTTGTCTGTGTCCGTACTGTACCTGGACACACCACCAGAGTGACGTCACTTCACTCGCGTGTGTTTGTTTACACCCGCAGCTGTGCGCAACACTGAGATTATTTTCTTTTTCGGACAATCGGTTTGAGTCTGGATTTAAAGGACATTTATTAGTGCAGACTTGTGATGTGGGAGGAGCCTGTGTGAGCGGTGAGTGTTGGAAATACATCGACTTTGAAGCTAGTTTAGGTTTTGTTAGCGGTTAGCTGCTGTAGCTCCCACACATAAACAAGCTGTTTTCTATTGGTCTATTGTAAAGTGATTATATTGGCCGTATATTTGTTACTGGACCTGCACTGATATGTAAATGAGCTGTGAATAGACGTGTGAATGATCCACATTTATGCATATAATTAATTACCGCGGTGCGCAGCATTTACAGCTAAAGGCTAATAGCGATCGTTTACTAGCTAGTAGTTATGGGTCGGTCGCGATCGAAGCGGCTCTTAGAGCGAACAGCAGGAGCCTGCTTCTTATTGGGAGCCGTGTTTTCTCTTTTTCTCACTTTTTCTCTTCAAGCCGCATGTAGACCCGTAGTTTGACAGCAGCAGCGGCTGAAAACGAAACTTTCAGAAATCTGCGTGTGCATAGGATAAAAAAAAAGTGCATATTTGGCTGCAGTTCAGCATAAAATGAATAAACCAGGACTAATCTTGGGCTCGAGTGCAGGAGAGAGATAGAAACCAAGTCCCGACACTCAGTCCTGGTTCAGTTCTAGTTTAGTCCTGCTTGCAACAAAACAATCTCAAGAGTCGCTTGGGAGCCGAAAGAGCCAGCTGCTTTTTAGTGAGCCGCGCCAAAACAGCCGATTCTCCAACAAAACTGGAATACCCATCACTAGCAGCTAGAATGTGATGCAAAAATGCCATTAGGCCAATCTACTGTCTGTAAATATGATGTAAAGAGTCAAAATAACAATAAATGTTGCCTAAATAAACCCAATTTAGAATCCACTAGAGCCAAACCTAAGTTTTTTAATCAATTCAAGATTTACAGTGAAATTTTACATCACTAAATAAAAAAACTACTTTAGTCAACAGAAAACATTACTCAAGTAGAAATCGAAAGAATGAAGTGATCCGACTATTTTTAGACATTTAACTACACCAAACGATCACTTATTTTGCTTTTAATTCACATTTTCTCACAAAAATCCAAGAGTTGTGACTCAAATTCAAGTTTCAGTAAATTTTTTAAGTCTTAATAAATCAGTAACAAAACTACAGAATGAAAAGAGGGTAACAAAAAGCTATTTTAGTCGACAGAAAATATTATTACTCAAGTAGAAATTGAAAGAATGAAGTGATCCAATTGTTTTTAGACCGAAAAACTATACCAAATGATCATTTCTTTTGCATTTTACTCACATTCATTCACAAAATCCAAAAGTTGTGACTCAAATTCAAGTCTTAAATTACTTAATACCAAAGCTACAGCGTGAGTAGAAAGTAAAAAAAACTACTTTAGTCAACAGAAAATCTTATTACTCAAGCAGAAATCGAAAGAATGAAGTGAGACAATTATTTTTAGATATTAAAACTATACCAAATTATTACGTTTACTCTGCTTTTGAGTCACATTTATTTACAAAAATCCAACTCCAATTAAGAGTTGTGACTCAAATTCAAGTTTCAGTACATTTTTTAATTTAAGTCTTATTACTTATTACAGAAAATATATTACTCAAGTAGAAATCGAAAGAATGAAGTGAGATGATTATTTTTAGACTTAAAACTATACCAAATTTTTATGTTTACTTTGCGTTTAATTCACATTTAGTCACAAAAATCCACAATAAGTGTACTTCAATTAAGAGTTGTGACTCAAATTCTAGTTTAAGTACATTTTTAAGTCTTAAATTACTTAATATCAAAGCTACAGTGAGAGTTGAAAGTAAAAAAACTACTTAAGTCAACAGAAAATCTTATTACTCAAGTAGAAATCGAAAGAATGAAGTGAGACAATTTTTTTTTACATTGAAACTGTGCCAAATATTGTTTACTTCGCGTTTAATTCACAAAAATCCAAGAGTTGTGACTCAAATTCAAGTTTAAGTAAATTTTTTAAGTCTTAATTAGTCACTAACAAAGCTACAGAGTGAATAGAAAGTTTAAAAAAAAACTTTATTCAACAGAAAATATTATTACTCAAATAGAAATCGAAAGAATGAAGTGACACAATTATTTTTAGACTTAAAACTATACCAAATTATTACAATTAGTACAAAAAACAGAGTTCAAGTCAGTTTACAAATTACTCAAGTAGAAATCAAGTTTAAGTAAAGTTGTGACTCAAATTTTAAGTTTACTTAATATCAAAGCTACAGTGAGAGTTGAAAGTAAAAAAACTACTTAAGTCAACAGAAAATCTTATTACTCAAGTAGAAATCGAAAGAATGAAGTGAGACAATTTTTTTACATTTAAACTGTGCCCAATATTGTTTACTTCGCGTTTTTAATTCACAAAAATCCAAGAGTTGTGACTCAAATTCAAGTTTAAGTAAATTTTTTAAGTCTTAATTAGTCACTAACAAAGCTACAGAGTGAATAGAAAGTTTAAAAAAAACTACTTTATTCAACAGAAAATATTATTACTCAAATAGAAATCGAAAGAATGAAGTGACACAATTATTTTTAGACTTAAAACTATACCAAATTATTACATTTACTCTGCGTTTGAGTCACATTTATTTACAAAAATCCAAGTCCAATTAAGAGTTGTGACTCAAATTCAAGTTTCAGTACATTTTTTAAGTTTTAAATTACTTAATACCAAAGCTACAGCGTGAGTACAAAGTAAAAAAAAACTACTTTAGTCAACAGAAAATACTATTACTCAAGTAGAAATCAAAAGAATGAAGTGATCCGATTATTTTTAGACATTGTTTCACTTTGCCAGGAAATCAGATGAGACAAGTGTGAGTGGTCAACTTGACTCATGAATTCGCCTTTTAAATATTTGTAAAAATTACCATAAGCAACACAGCAAAATGGGGACAAAATTTACCGTATTTTAAATGGTTAAGTCAGAAATTTAATCTAATATTTTAAAAAGAAAACGTAATTACTGTCAGCAATTATAATCAGATGCACAATGGTCACGTTATTTGTGTTTAAAATCTTATAATAAACAACATAAACAATATCCAGATTAAGCGTTTTAAAAGCCAATTTCGCTCGTAATTTGCATCTTAAAAGTTTAATGGACGTGTGAAATGTCATTTCTTTGCCTGAAATGTTCCACAGTGTGACTTTACACAGTTCTACTTAACATTTATTCCAAAAAAAAGGTGGTTTTACAGCTCAAAAATACCTCGAAAAACAGGAATTCTGACTGTGAGCGGGGTCGCCTCTCCACAGATCTGACCTATAACTTGGTCTCGTTCGGTCTCCATAAAGAAAGTGAATTTCAGATCATTTTGACGTCAAAAATTTGAAGTTTGCACTTTCTGTTTTAAAGTTACAGTGTGGAACTTTAAATTGGGAATAGCCATGATGTACACAAAGCACAGTAGACGTAAACAACATCCAAATTAGGCGTTTTAAAACCCAATTTCGCTCACAATTTCCATGTTAAATGTTCAGTTGATGTGTGATTTGTCATTGCTTTGCCTGGAATGTTCCACAGTGTGACTTTAAATGTAAAGTAGAGCTGTGTATTCAATTACAGGTGGTTTTAAAGCTCAAAAACACATAAAAAAACAAACATTCTGACTGTGAGCGCGGTCGCCTCTCCACAGATCTGACCTGTACCTTTGTCAGATCATTCTTACAACAAAAATATGAAGTTTACACGTTCTGTTTTAAAGTTACACTGTGGAACTTTAGATTGGGCATAGCCATGATGTACACAAAGCACAGCAGACGTAAACAACATCCAAATTAAGCATTTTAAAAGCCAATTTCGCTCGTAATTTGCATCTTAGATGTTTAATGAACGTGTGAAATGTCATTGTTCTGTCTGAAATGTTCCACAGTGTGACTTTACACAGCTCTACTTAACATTTATTCAATTACAGTTGGTTTTAAAGCTCAAAAATACCTCGAAAACAAACATTCTGACTGTGAGCGGGGTCGCCTCTCCACAGATCTCACCTGTAACTTTGTCAGATGATCTTTACGTCAATAATCTGAAGTTTGCACGTTCTGTTTTAATGTTACACTGTGGAACTTTAAATTGGGCATAGCCATGATGTACACAAAGCACAGCAGACGTAAACAACATCCAAATTAAGCGTTTTAAAAGCCAATTTCGCTCGTAATTTGCATCTCAAATGTTCAATCGTGTCACAGCGACGCGTGGATCTTACCTTAAACGGTGAAGGTCCGTAATGTTACACTAAAAACAGCTTTTCCAGAGCGCGCAGACAACAAAAGCAACAATCCCCCAACTCCACAGCTGCTCGCCTCCCCGAAGAACAACAAGACGGGGGCTAACGCTGCTAGCCGGAGAAAGCTAATCACACAAAGAAATGTTCAGTCAGACCGTCCGATCGCCGTGAAAAACCGACAAACGGGAACCCGGCGCGCTCAAACCCCCGCTCCCGGTGCCGCCTCGATTGGCTGCAGGAGGCTAATATTAGTTTTCGCTGTTGTCATGCAAATTAGCAGCGTTAGCATCCCCGTTAGCTCCGCGGCTAATGCTAACGCGGCGGGGACGGAGCGGGCCCGGGTTCGGTGCTCTCCCGGGGGAAGGGGGTTCGGTGCTGCCGGGGGTCCGGGGGGTGGGGACGCGAGGGCAGGGGGGGGGGAGACGGGCGGCGGAGGTACCTCGGTGCTCGCTCGGCCTCTCGGGTTCTGTGGTAGGCGGAAGTGGTTGAAGAACGGGGAAATTCCAGCTCCGTTTGATGTAAACAGGACAAGTACGGAAGCCCCCGAGGCGAGCGCGAAAGGCGAAAGAGGTTATGCCGTAGAACAGGGGTGTCAAACTCATTTTGGTCCGGGGGGCCGTACCCAACCTACTCTGATCCCAAAGGGGCCGGATCAGAAAACTCATGACATATAAACCCCAAAAATAACAATAAGTTCACATATTTGTGCAGAGAAATAGAAATCTATCTATTACAGAAATCTTTTTTCATTGATGAACTTTTTCTTTTACAAAATATGATAATATTATGAACAACCTGAAACTTTAAGAAAAATGCAATTTCAACACAATGTTTTAACATGAACTTGTATGTAAATAGGAATAAGTCAATTTTTCTTGGAAAATCCTGCACTCGGCTCCACTTTTCTCATGTTGGACATTTTTCTGATGAGGGTGTCACAGTCAACAGTCAAAACGATCGTCCTTTAAGAGCGTTTGGAAAGAGACAAGTCTTCATTTGTGCTGCTCTGGTGGGAGGGGCCACGTACAGAGACGCTGGAGACGCTGCTGTGATAAACACCACAGAAAATTAACAATATTTTAATAGAAAATATAATTCAAATATTTTAGTTGAAAATCAGCCGAGGGCCAGATTAAAGGTCTTGGAGGGCCGGATCTGGCCCCCGGGCCGTATGTTTGACACCCCTGCCGTAGACTAAATATAGAGACTCTTATTAAAAAGTGAGAAAATAAATGTGGTGAGTATACTGCAAAATTCTAGGGAAATATTCTGCTATAAAAATTATTACAATTGAAAATAACACGAAAAGAAATTAAAACTAAAAATAATAAAAACACAAATATGCATAGCTTACTTATCGCCATAGATTGTATTAAGCCTATACAATACTGTTAATACAATCAAAATATTGCAAAATTCTGGGGAAAAATGTTGATGTAAAAATAATTACAATAGAATATAATATTAAAGGACAATCAAATAAAAAATAAAAAATATTTATATTATACAGTACTTGCAACTGATTGTATAATGCCTATAAATACTGTCAATATAATCAATATATAATATTGCAAAATTCTGAGTAAAAAGTCTTGTCCTTGTACGGAAGCCCCCGAGGCGAGCGCGAAAGGTGTAGGAGGTTATGCTGTAGACTAAATATAGAGATTCTATGAAAAAGTGAGAAAATAAATGCGGTGACTATACTGAAAAATTTTAGGGAAATATTTTCGTATAAAAATAATTAGAATTGAAAATAATGCAAAAACACATTAAAACTAAAAATAATAAAACACAAATATAATACCATGAATACGTTACTTATAGCCATAGATTGTATTAAGCCTATGCAATACTGTCAACATAATCAAAATATTGCAAAATTCTGGGGAAAAAGTTTGATATAAAAATAATTATAATAGAATATAATATTAAAAGACAATAAAATAAAAAAATAAAATATTCATATTATAGAATATCTACAGTACTTGTAGCCGATTGTATAATGCCTATAAATACTGTCAATATAATCAATATATAATATTGCAAAATTCTGAGTAAAAAGTCTTGTCCTTGTCCTGTTTAATGTAAAATATGGAAGCCCCCAAGGCGAGCGCGAAAGAGGTTATGCCATAAATTAACTATAGAGAATACTTATTAAAGTGAATACTTATTAAAGTTAAAAAGTGAGAAAATAAATGCAGTGAGTATACTGAAAAATTCTAGGGAAATAATCTGATATAAAAATATTTATCACTGAATATAATATCAAAACAGATTAAAACTAAAAATAATAAAACACAAATATAATAGAACATATAGGTTACTTATAGCCATGGATTGGATAAAACCTATACTATAGAGTCAGCATAATCAAAATATTGGAAAATTCTGGGGAAAAAGTTTGATATAAAAATAATTATAGTTGAATATAATATAAAAAGACATTAAAACTAAAAATAATAAAAACACAAATATGCATATCTTACTTATAATCATAGAGCGTATAAAGGATATAATTGGATAAAGCCTATACTACAGAGTCAGCATAATCAAAACTGGAAATTCTGTGGAAAAAGTTTGATGTAAAAATAATTATAATAGAATATAATATTAAAAGACAATAAAATAAAATAAAAAATAATATTCATATTCATATTATAGAATATCTACTTGTGGCCAGATTATATAAAGTCTAAGTGAGAAAATAAATGCATTGAGTATACTGCAAAACTCTAGGGAAATATTTTGATATAAAAATAATTATTGCTGAATATAATATAAAAAGAGATTAAAACAAAAAATAGTAAAAATACAAATATAATAGAATGTTTAGAAAACTTATATCCAAAGATTGGATAAAGCCTATACTATAGAGTCAGCATAATCAAAATATTGAAAAATTCTGGGGAAAAAGTTTAATGTAAAAATCATTATAATAAAATATTATATGAACAGACTTTAAAACCAAAAATAATAAAAATACAAATATGCATAGGTTACTTATAACCATAGATTGTATAAAGCCTTTACAATACTGTCAGCATAATCAAAATATTGCAAAATTCTGGGGAAAATGTTTGATATAAAAATAATTATAATTAAATATTATATGAAAGACTTTAAAACTAAAAATAATTAAAAATGCAAATATAATAGAATGTATAGGTTACTTATAGCCATAGACTGTATAACGCCTAAACAATATTGTCAACATAAATTTAATATTGTAAAATTCTGGGGAAAAAGTTTGATATAAAAATAATTATAACTCAATATAATATCAAAATACAATAAAATTAAAAATAAAAACATTCGTATTATAGAATATCCACTTACAGCCAGATTGTATAAAGCCTATAAATACTGTCAGTATAATCAATATAATAAATAAATTGCTAAATTCTGTGTAAAAAGTCTGATCTAAAAATAATTATAATTGAATATAATATAAAAATACATTAAAACTAAAAAATAATAAAAACACAAATATAATAGAATGTATAGGTTACTTATAACCATAGATTGTATACAGCCTATAAATACTGTCAGTATAATCAATATAATGAATAAATTGCAAAATTCTGTGCAAAAAGTGTGACATAAAAATAATAATAATAGAATATTATATCAAAATACAACCGAATTAAAAATAATCAAAAACATAAATATAATAGAATAGCTTATTATAGCCATTGAAAAAACTGCAGACCTACACGAAAACTGAAAAATCCTTTAACTTCTTTCTGCTAAACACCCCAAGATGCTATGAAACTGTAGTGTAAATAAATAAATATAAGTAATATACAATACAAATAAATAAATATAAATAAAATAAAATAATTGCCTCTACCCTGTCAAAGATCCAAAAGCAGGAACCCCGAGTCTTAACTGGAAAAAGTGAATGAACACGTTTTCATTCACATCTGTGTTCATCATGTCAATAATTCCGCAATCTACCAAGATAACTCTGTGTGTGTGTACGTGTGTGTGTTTGTGTGTGTGTATATGTGTGCGTTTGTGTGTGTGTGCGTGTGTGTTGATCACGGGGGTTTCACAAGTTGCATCACATCTCACGCACCAAATTAAACCAGGTTAAACGTTTCTTTTTCTCCATCAAACATTACGTTGGAGTTGTGTAATGTTTTAAAATCCAACGCGGTGAGTAATAATTTTAAAACTACAGGATTGCATAATGTCTTTGAAGAACAGACCGACTGGAGCTCCGTTAGAATTTAACATTTCCAGGCATTGCGGTAAAACACAGATAACTTTGCACTTTTGACATCTTCTGCTGAACTTACTGAAGCATAAGTTGCAGAAATTGTTGTGCAACGGTCAAAAAAAACCCATAACAGTGAGTAATTTGTTCGGAAAAAAAAAACATGTTAAATTCTAAAGTAGTTTTGTAGTAAACAGTCGTGGAAGAAGTGCAATCTTGTTTCTTAAGTAAAAGTGCAGACACCAGAGCAAAGAAATACTCAATAAAAGTAAAAGTATCACATGAAAAACCAGCTTAAGTAAAAGTATTGAAGTACTTGTTTAAAAATGTACATAAAGAGTAAAAATTAAAAGCATTTCACGCACATTTTGAGGTCTAATAAAGCTTCAAATTTAATGTAGAAAAAATAAAAAAACATTTAAAATTCTCAAGTAGTTTTGTCGTAAACAGTCATGGAAGAAGTACTATCTTGTTTCTTAAGTAAAAGTACTAAAGTACCTGTTTAAAATGTACTTAAAGAGTAAAAAGTAAAAGTATTTCTCGCACATTTTGAGGTCTAATAAAGCTTCAAATGTAGAGTAGAAAAAAATACATTTAAAATTCTCAAGTAGTTTTGTCGTAAACAGTCATGGAAGAAGTACATTCTTGTTTCTTACGTAAAAGTATTAAAGTACCTGTTTAAAAATGTACTTAAAGAGTAAAAAGTAAAAGTAATTCTCGCAGATTTTGAGATTTAATAAAGCTTCAAATGTAGAGTAGAAAGAAGAAGTGCAATCTTGTTTCTTAAGTAAAAGTACAGACACCAGAGCAAAGAAATACACAATAAAAGTAAAAGTATCACATGAAAAATCAACTTAAGTTAAAGTATTAAAGTACTTGTTTAAAAATGTACTTAAAGAGTAAAAAGTAAAAGTATTTCTCGCAGATTTTGAGGTCTAATAAAGCTTCAAATGTCGTGATTTTGAGACAGATTGAAGCCAGAAACAATTTAGTCTTTTTAATTTTGTATTTTTTGTGTTTGCTCAAGCTACAAATTTGTTCAAAATAAACCTTAAACATGTCTTTAACTATAAAAACAATACTTTTACTTTTCCATCCTGTTCAAAAATGAAGTGCAGTAG